TGCTATTGTCAATAATATGTACCTGCAATAATTATGCTGATATTATGTATTATAGCATCTGTGATTGATATAGTAATGAGTGATATAATACCTGATGTGATAGTGATAATGGTAACGGTGATGCTTGCAATAGCTACAAAGGTATATATTATTGACAATAGCATATGCAGTGGAAGAGAAAAGAATGTATTGAAAGATGTATTGATGATAGGAGGAGTGTTTGTAATGACAAGATTGAAAGTGATTATACCATTTCTGAATAAAACAGAGAGATCTAGCGATGTAATGAAATGTATTGATAAGATGAAAGTATGTGAAGTAGAAGTGAAGAATGTGTTGTATGTAATGCTAGTGATAATGGCGGTGTGTATATTAGTATATACTATAATATGGATGAATATGTTGATTAAGAAGATTAAATATGATAAGATGAATCGCATGATAAATAAGAAATGCAAAATGAAGAATGTGAATGTGATGGTTAAAGTATAATAGTGTGTGGAATAATGGTGTAATGTGTAATGTATAATGTATAATATTATCAGCAATCAATATATCATAGATGGAAAGGAGATCATCTGTACAATGTATGGTAAGCAGTGAATGTGGAAATGGTTTATAATAAAAGTGAATTATATAATTGATATTAGTACAACACCTGGATATGATGTTAGAGATAAAATAAGTTTATATTATGCAATTTATAATAAGTAGTTGTAAAACCCTTACAATCATGGAAAGTAATGAAGAAGTACTAGTACATCAGAACATAATGGATGCATCACAAATGGATACTAGCAAAAGAACAATTGAATGGATAAATAAATGTATAGAAACGTTGAATGATGGAGATAAACTGAATTAGTCGATGAATAACCCGACTTTATTTATATTTTCAAGCATATGTTTCTAATCAAGAATGATGCTGATGCAAAACAAATATTTAATGAACTGGATGAAGTAGTGGTTTATAAAATACTTAATATAACGAAACCAACACGGGCAAGTGTGTGTTTCAGTGTTTGTATTTCTAATACAAAATGGCTTGATACTGTTTCTTCTTCGCATATTATATCAGGTAGTGAAGGTTTTAGCGATGCTATTATTAATTTTGATCCGAATGACATTGATGAGATGAAGATTTTGTGGCAATTTATAAAAGATTTTGGAACAGGTTATGAAAATAATCATATTATTATAGATAAATTGGTTGGAATTCATGAAACCCCCCAAATTCTATTGCCTTGGATATTATAGTGAATGGAGTAGAAAATGATCTTGAGTGTTCATCAGGCTTGATAAATGGTGAGTTTTTGAAGAGTATGATTGAGGATTTGAATAAAGGTTCTGCTCCTGAAAGTTATAAAGGGGGAGGGTAAGACACGAAAAATTATTACAAAAATTGCAAAGTTACTTCTTTATTTTAAATCATCTAGTGATGTTAAAGGTGTAGTGAGCAAATCATCTATTAATTTTGAAGAAATAGTGAATTATGTAATAGAGAAGGAGAGTTAGCATATTTAATGGATAAAATTGATAATTACTTGGATTTGGTAAAGATGATTAATGCAATCAAGAATGAAGCCAAGAATGAAAATGCATTAGAACTAGCAGCAGGGAAGCTAATAGAAAATATTTTGAATAAACCGAAAGACGATTCAAGCATTTCATTATCCACAGCATTGGAAAATATTAAAGATGAAAGTGGAATACGAGCTGTGGTGAAAAAATGTAAAAATATTGCAACACTTTTGACTTGTATTGAAGGTGAAGACTTGGTGCAGGTTGTAGTAGATGAACATATGAAGGATATGAGTGATTTGACAAGATTGATAAAGATAGTGAATGATCTTACAGAAAAGACAACGAAGTATTGTATTATGTTCTAAAGAGTTTCATTCATAATAACAAGGGAATAGATTCAACGACGCTTTCTAATTTTGACCATGAACTGATCAGTGCAGTACTTTATGGAATACCTGGTGAATCAAGATTGATTGGAAAGGATGCGTTTGTAAGAATGTTGAGGAATCAAAAAGGTATATGTGAAATATTAAAGATATTTAAGGTGTTAAAATCTATAAATGATGTCGGTAATGCATTAGATGTGATAACGATTGAAGATGTAGTGAATGTTATGAAAGAGAAAGATGAATTTAAATCGTTAGTAAAAAATCTATTAGATCAAAAGGAATATCGGTGCGTGGCTAGAATTCTGATTCATCTTGATGCAGAAAAAGCCGATGAAGCAGAAAAAATATGCAATGATATGAAAGATCGTCTAGCAGAAGAGGCTAGCAATTTAAATTTTGTGGAATCAGAAGAAAGAGTAAATACAATGAATGAAATGAAAAGTATAACTGAAGGATCTGAATTACCTGATATTAAAGATATGCTTGATGAATTCCTATTTGAATACAGCCACGAATAGTACGACAATCAAGAAATTATACTTGATTAATCAATGAATAAAAGTATATAAGAATTAAATGATTGATTCAATTGGATATGAGCCTATTCTATTTATAAAGCCCAAGTAACGAAGTATGCATTTGGTGTATGATGTATATGATGAATTTACCTAAAGTGTATATGCAAGAGTGATAGATATTATAAACATATTAGCTCACAATATTGAAAGATGCGTTCAACATCCGTCAGTGGTAATGAAGGTAAAAGAGATAATGATAAAGCTATTGCCAGTGATTCAGCTAAGAATCAAAGTCATATTGATGAAATCAATCAACGGAAGAATCTACAAGAGAAAGTCAATAAATGTATAGAAATGTATGATATAATCAACAAAAAAAAGAATAAGGATATAATAAATATAAAAATATCAAGAACCATTTTAGAAAAGCTATTAGAACCAACTGTCCAATTAGATTTAATTAATTTTAAGCCTAAGCAATTGATAGATCGAATAACAGATGAAATTAAGAATATAGCAAAAAAAAATCGAAATAAATGAAAAAGGAGCAAAAAAACTGGCTCTTTTTTTTAAATCTGGAAGCAATGGGGTGCGTTTTATTGAACCTCTAGGAAAAGATCCATGCACTAATTTTAAAAAAAATTTAGAGCATTTATTATTAAGTAATAAACCAATTAATAGTCTGAATAAATCTGATGATAGAACTGAACCAAAAGTTGCCAACCAAATTCTATTATCAAGTCAGAAGACAGAATATACAACCACAGATAATCAAGATAAAAAACCTGAACTAGACAGTAATTCATCTCCAAAAACAAAAGAAACCCAACCTTCAAATCCTCAAAACACCACAAACAATGGCATAAAATCAATGAAGTCTCGCATTATATTGAATGCAGCAGGGTGTCTGATAATAATAATACTCTTAGTAGTATTAATAGTAAAATATGTATTTTCCATCGATGTTAGTGAAACTATGATAGCATCTGTACTTATACAGATTGCATCAATCGCAGTAATAGTCGGATTTTGTTTTTGGGCAGTTAAAAAACACTTGAGCATATGCGATTCTAAAAAGTTAAGTACTGAGTCAAAATTTGATACTACTATGCTAATATTGTGCACAATATCGACGATTCTATTAATGATTATCTATACTATTGGCAAAAGTGATTTGTGTATGTTTATGGCAATGTCTTTACTTATAGTGATAGCAATGATGAATATTATAGCAGATCAGCCATCCAAAATATTTCAAATTATGCTGGTAATTGGTATGCTGATAATACGCATTTTGCAGATTGGATATTTAGCATACGACGAAGCATGTACAAAAATGTTTCATATGAAACTTGATAAATCATCATCATAATAGCAACTGTTATTTTTATTTCTAATATATTATTAGATTTGATGAGAAAAAGTAATCAAAATAATGATAATACTAAAAAAGTAGTTATGAAGCGTTTATCTGCTGGAATGATAGGAATTTTACTTGTAACAGAAATAATCAGTAATGTCATTTGTATTGTACAGAAGAATAACACAAGTGATGTTATAGAAAACTAAAAAATCAATTAAATCAAGATGTTATACCATTCAATACATTTAATTATTGCATTGATTTTATTCTAACTGATCAAAATTTAAAAAATCTCCTAAATGAATTCATATTATATGATAAACTTTTTACAGCTGCCTCCCCAGTTACCTTTGCAGCTGTATCTGCCAGCAATTCAGACATTGATCCCTTGCCTTCAGTGCCAGATGCTCCGTTTATGCTAAACATCTGGATTTTTAATATCCAAAATAGACCTGCACATCCGACTACAGTACAGAATATAGTAGGAATAATCAAAATCGCCTGTTTCTTTTTAACAATAGATTCAAAATAGCCATCAATGCCAAAAAAGGATTTAAAAATAACCAGATGCACAAGCCTGAATGCCAATAAAGCGATCGTTGGAAACATAGGATATGCCCAACTGAAAAAGCTATTCTGATCATATGAGTCATTAGATTCTTTCAATCTAGATATTGTAATATATCCAAAAATACCACGAGCTAATTCTATAAAAATTGCTGCACTTTGGCCAAAGATTATAGATTGCGCTGTAAGGAACATATATGCAGTCTGTGTAATAATCATGAGTCCAGGATCGACATTAAATCTGTTCTTAAGCTTATCTGTTTCTTTAGAATTCACATAATTCTTGTTTAGCCCTATATTATTAAAAAGCCATTTAAAAGGTGCAGAACCCACCGTCTTCAAGCCACATTCTCTAATGTCTTTCAAGCTTACTTTGTTGTTGATTATTATAACCGTAATAAAAAACACAAATATATGAGAAATCATGATCGCCTGCTTCAGAAAATCAATTGTTGTGATTGGCTTTTCATCATCCCTTTCAAACTCTTTGATCAGTATAATGATGGTTTTCAGAATCAGATATGAAATGGCTATAGCAGGAAACACTAGATTGTACTTTCCGTACCTTTTCATATCAGCCGCTATTTGATACTGCAAAAACACGAAACACGAAAAAATCAGATCTTCAGTCAATCTCCACTTCAGCCCCATATCCCTACTTAATTGTTTCGTTAAAATCATTTCTATTTACCATAAATATACAGCAAAGCCAAACTGTTTAATTTAATGCTTTTGGAGAGCCAATGACATCAACCTTTCAAGCACAGCATACTGCTCCAAGGATGATGAATCTACTTCAATAGATCCCAAATTTATCTTGCTAATGGCTTGCATCTTAAGTGAAAGCTCTTTTGTAATCTTCATATTGCTATTCACAATGTCTCCAAGAACTTCAAGTATCTTATTTCTATCACACAAGCAATCAAACACACTCAACACATTCAAGTACATTTCAGATTCAACTTCTTCACTTCCTCCGATTACATACTTTCCATTGATCTTGTTCGCTTTCCATTTTCCATATATTAGACTTGTGTATTCTCCATACTGTGCATGATCTTGATCATTTTCATAATCTTTGCATAGCTCAACAAGCTCTCGTATCATAAGGTTCACAATCTGCTCATTTCTTTCCAGAAAATCCATTCGTAGAACAAATTCTTTTAGAACCAAATCTCTTGTAATCTCAGTAAAGCATGACAAATTCTTCAATACATCATTTGCTGCAATATATCCTGCCTCTCCTTCTCCACTACTAAAAGACTCCTCTACAGTCTCAAATAACCTTAAAATCCACTTCTGGTCATCTGTTTCCTTCAATGCATTCAGAGCCAGAATACAGCCCTTGTGAATCACATCCGATGTCTTCTTACATCCCTTACAATAAATAGCCCATCCATCATCATACTTCCTATGCTTAATACAAAGACTCATCATCGATTTGTTCAACGACTCGCACGAGCCATCCCGGTTTAAAGCCCAGAAATGCACTCTTTCCTCCCAATTCATCTCCTCCTTTCTGTGCGTTATCCATTCATCCATATTTTCAGTAAGCAAGACTTGGTTTACATCAATCGCCATGTTTATCAGTCCCATACTTTCCACAAAATGGCTTTCTAACGATTCATCAATAAAAATCATTTCTTTCTGTAGTTTATCTACTAGAGTGTTATTATCTTCCTTCAGTGCCAGTAAAATACCCAACATCATCATTCCTTGTGTCCTTTCTGTCGAGTTCAGCACCTTGAAAAACCTTGATGACTCAATCCTCCTGAACAAGACAATTAGCAATAGCTCTAAATCCTTGGAAGAAACACATTGAATACCAGACTCACTGTACTTACTGTAAACCTTGTACATCAACGACTCAAACACTTGCTCACACTGGATGTTTATCATCTCACCTGGAAAACATCTGTTGACAAGCTCAAGGATCCTCCTTTGATTGCAAGTATATTCGACCCTATAATTCACATTTCTATGGCAATCTGTTGTCTCAAGAATGCGTCTGACATCAAATACCTCTCTCTCACAAATCTGATCAAGCACAAAAACCTCAAAAACAAAAAAATCCTCAAATGCAATTGGAGAAACCTCCAGCACATGATCTGATACGCACGCAAGCAAATGGCAATATATCTCTACCACATCGTATGATGTAGATATACACACATCCATATCACACAATGCACATTCCTCATCACACTTTCCCCAAGACTTTACCGAATCCATTACTCTATATGCCGCATCTATTGCCATAGAAAGTCTATTACCATCCGGTTCATCGGTGCCCTCGTCAACCTCGACTGTCTCCATAAATCTGAGGGTATTGCAATTCTTGTATTACTTAAAACAAACCACATTCTGCCAATTGATCACCAAATCTCTTCAAAACATCCCCTGACCAATCATGCGATTATCATATGATTCTTTTAATAAGCTCTGCATTAGATCTCCTTTCTGCGCACATCCAGATTCGTACTTTGAATATCTTGAATAGATCTTTCAGAAGATCCCTGAAATCTATTCGTTTATCACTCCTGAAGTAGAATGTTATTTTCTTGGCATCCCATTGGTATTCACAGCTCAGAATATCCATACTCAGTCTTCTGGCACTAACCATCTCTCTGCATTGCTTTAGTGACATGTACTCCATCTCTTTTTTTTTATCCAGCTTCTGTATATCATCGCCAGATGCTTTTCTAATCACTTTTATCAGCACAAGGTCCTTCCTTGCATCTTTTATCTTCATAAGATGACTCTCAAATTTGTATTCGTCCATAGCATTCACAATCTTTCCACAATCCTCTCCTCTATCTGCTTCAAGGATCACATAGCTGCCTACATCAACAGGCTGTGCATAGTAGCCAATCTCAAATCTTCCACTTGGGAACTCAATAATGAAATACCATTTCCTTGGAAACACATTTGCTAACTCTATCGACATGAAGCTTGTTCGTCTAATCTCATCTTCATTCAAAGTATCTGGCCAAAACTTGTTTGGAGTCATACCCACTACTCTCCAAGCAACTGACCCTTCACTCCACTTCTCATTAGTCTCACTCCAGATACTACCGGGCAGATATGGAATCCATTCGCAGCCATCGAACATCCGCAGAAACATGCACGCCTTTTTATTTTTACATCGAAAACTTGTTTTGGATGCATGTTTCTCCATATTAATTGCACATAAACTGACAGCATATTATACACTGCATCATGCATCATTCAACCAAATATACTTGCAAAAGATAACAATTGTTATTTAGAGCAGGTATGATTTCTTTAATTCAGGATTAGAAATAAAAAATACAGTGGTCGCGCCGAGATTCGAACTCAGATTGTCAGATTCAGAGTCTGAAGTGATAACCATTACACCACGCAACCTCCGTAATCACTCCCATTTCTTGGGCTCAGACCACATCGAAACACACCCGCAACAAGTGTTTCAAGTAATCCTTTCAAAAACATCCCAAAACAACTACACCCTAGAAATGAGTCTCGCTGCATCGTATTACATAAAGCAAGTATTCAGATTCACCGGAGACTTCCTCCATATTGCATCAAAGGTCGTATTGATAAGAAAGATCTCAAGGACAAAATCATGCAGCGGATTGTCTCTCAAAACCCAATTTCTCTATGGAATGGTCTTTGTTCTAAGATATATAGATTTGTTCAGGTTCTACCCCAATAGTCTTCTTTCTGTATATAACAGTCTAATGAAGATTCTTTTCATAGGGTTCCAGGCGCTTATTCTTTTCACAATGAGATTTAAATATTTCGGCACATATGACAGGAAGTGGGATAAGTTCAATATCCTTATGCTTATAATTCCATGCTTCTTAATCTCAATGATCTTCACAAAGTCATCTTCAGGTGCCGAAGAATTTAGTTTTGTGGGTTATGCATATGGAGTTACGTATACCATGTCGTTGCTGCTAGAGAGTGTGGCAATTCTTCCTCAGCTTGTTCAGCTCCAGGAGGCAGGCGAATCTGAAACAATGACATCAAGATATATTTTATTACTTGGACTATACAGAGCAGCTTATACAGTTTATTTTGCAATTAGGAAAATATTCGAAGAGAAAGACAAGGTACCAACAAGTCTTCCACTCGCATGCGGGATCATCCAAACGCTCTTATACGTCGATTTCTTTGCAATATACTACAGATACGTCTTTAGAAGATCTGGCATTTCTGACGATTTGGGAAAGAAAAGCGAACTATAAACACATTTGCTATTCATGTTTTTCGTACACTATATCCCTGACAATATGTTTCTTGTTCCATTGACAATCAGAAATAATTTAAACTTAATGTCAAGATTCAATCCAAGGAAGAGCAGGGCTGTTGTGTTAGACGATGTGCTGTACTTGTTGCTGTGGAATAAAGAATACCTGGAACTGGTCTCTATTCCTTTATTGGGACAATGTGAAGAGCAATGCTTTGTAAAAGCAATCTTTGCACTGGATGCATCAATTACTGTGGTAAACAATACAATTCGCATATATGCGATTACAAAAAGCAACTTATATTACTTTGGAGACAGACTTGACATTTTCAATGAGGTCCCACATTTGTTTGGATCTCCAGAGATTAGCGCATGGGATGAAAATCTGGTTATATTCGATAGAAATGTGTTCTATTCATTCACAGGTGATGGGTTTAGAAATCTCCATATTTCTCCATACTTTAAAAGTGTAACATATCACACATGTGGTAAATCTTCAGGTATGGATGTAATTGTCTACCAAACAAGCAATTACACATCGATATATTCAATCGATGGCAAACCAGTTCTGGAAAAACATCCTTTTGTAGGAAGTGTATTCATTAACAATGGGAAACTACTCGTTCATGAAAGTGGTCATCCGTTTATTCATGAAGTTTCCAATAGAATTGAAATACTCACAAGAATAAATACAAACATCAAGATAAGCGTAGTCTGGAAGGAAATGCTTTATTATCAAGGAATGCTTTGTATCAGTGGAACTACATCAGGAGGCAATGTTTTGTATGTCGATGGACATCTGTTTGATACAAAGGATTTGGTTCAGTCGTTTTTGGTATACAGAGACTGCTTTATTGGAGTTAGTGAGAATTTTGTTTACTTCTTACCTAATGACAAGGATTCTACAATGAAATTATTGAGTAGTGAAGAGAGATTATTGAATAATGCACTCAGCGGAAGCTTCACACCACACACATGTAGAAATTTTGGATTTACTGATATCACAAACATTAAGAAGCAAAGAACACATGTAGGACACTTTCTAGCATTCCTTGTTTATTGTGGATTCAAGATTGAATGCAGCAAGCTGATATGCAACAGTCTTAATAAGCTGCAAACTATTGAAAGTTCTGGAAGCCATGATCAAGATAGTGCACATAAAACGCTCAGAATGATAAAGATTCTGAACGATATAGGAAGATTTGGTTATAAAGCATATAAAGTGTTTGTAGGAAAGTGTATTGATACTGAGAGGATATACACTAAGGTTACAGAAACAATAGATCCTGAAGATGTCACTGAAGATATGCTAATTGAGATGTTAGAGTTATCATTTAGAAATATTGATTTTCTTGAAAGTCCAAGGTACTTCTTGATAAAAGGAAAAAAACAGATGGAGCAAGGAGTGGACTTCATGAATGCATTTTATAAATGTAATGGAATGTTTGACGACGTGTTGAATGTTCTAGAGCAAAACGGACGAGCAGTAGAAATAGTAATGTTGTGGAAGAAGACAAGAAATTGCCGTGAAGAATCTCTCGAGCTGTTATTCAAATATAAGCTTGTTAATTTTGTATCTTGCGAATATGAAGATGAAATAATCAGTGGTGCCGATGTTTTAGGGTGCCTGTGTGAAATTTGGGACAAAAGCAATAGAAGGGTGGAGAATGCTAGTTCGATTGTAAGCTTTATAGACGGGAGATATGATCTTTTGCATGGATATTTGCTTCCCTGTGGATTAAGGATTCTTATAAGTCCGATGCTTGTTCAGATTTTTTTTGAGCAGCAAATGCATTTTGAACAGGTTGCTTCATTTCTATTATATAATGAGATGAAGATTGAAGCAGCAATGCTGTATTATTGCAAATTTTGCAAAACAGGAGAAACAGAATTTGCTAATGGGTTTCTGAGGAATATTGATGAGAAGGTTTTTGTGTATGAAGGTAAATTTGTTGGAAAGGAAACTTTTGACAAGCCATGCATTCAGAATAACGAGGACTACAGAAATAGGATATTAGAAAATATTGATATTGCTACAAAAATGGATGATGGATGTTTATGGACCGATTGCTTGAAGGCAGAGCAATATCCAAGTGAATATGAAGAGTATATGAAGATTCTGAATCAAAAGGGAATAAAATAGAATAGTGGATGCATTCGTTTATATCTATCTAAATTCATAGTGCATGATGTATTAGAACAATTCTGAGGAAGTATCGTAATGCTGTCTTTCCAGGCATTGGCATTAAGAATACAATGAGTGAAGGAGTGAGTATTTTAATGTTATGGGAAGGATCAGGTTATAAATGTAATTTCTTTTATGCCATTTTTTAACCCCACAGAATGGCTCAATACAATGCTAAAGTTTCCGATCTTCCGAATCCATCGTCGGACACCATTTCTGAGCTGGCATTTAGTAGCATGCATGGACTGATGGCGACATCAAGTTGGGATGGAACGGTTAGAACGTATGATTTGGACAATCCTTATAGTGGAAGCAATAGAGTTTTGAACTTAAATAAACCTCTGCTGACGTGCTGCTTTAGTAAAGAGAATCCGTCACTGGTATTTGCAGGGGCAGTGGATGGGAGTCTGCAGATGGTGGATTTACAAAGCAATCAAACATCTTTTTTTCAGGCACATAGTGCAGGAGTAAAGTCTGTAAGGTATTTTTCAAACATGATAGTTACCGGATCATGGGACAAGACAGTTAAGTTTTGGGATGTTAGATCTTCTAAACTTGTGTTTTCTCTGGATCTTTCTGGAAAAGTTTATGCAATGGATCTTGAGAAGGAATTGTTGGCGATGTCTCTCTCAGGCAACGAAGTAGCGACATACAACCTGAACGACATCAACCAGAAGAAAAGCCATGTTTCAAAGCTGAATTGGATGATAAGATCGATAACATGTGCGCAGGACAACGAAACATTTGCACTTGGAGGGATTGAGGGCAAGGCAGAAATATTCAACATTAATTCACCAGTAAAAAAGATGATTTTCAGATGCCATAGAGTTGACACCAAGGTTTATGCAGTTAATTCTGTTTCCTTTTTGCCAACCAATCAGAACATACTAGCAACGGCAGGAGGAGATGGAACAATTGTGTTTTTTGACTCTCAAGCCAGAATGAAGATTTTTACACAGAATGAAAGCCATCCAATAACATGTGGTAGATTCAATGCAACAGGATCTTATTATGTGTATGCCACTGGGAATGACTGGTCCACGGGATATGCAACAACATACAGGCCCACACAGTTGAAGGTTATCCAGGTCAGCACTACAGGTGTAAAGATATGAGCAATAAATGTTGAGTAAAGAAGCTCTGAGCAAGCGACTGGACCTGTCTATAATAAATCTATTTATTCGAAACATTTTAGCATGAAACAGACGAGAATAGCTTAATGAAACGCAGTGAAGTTAATGCAAACACTAGTAAACAACAGAAATATCTGAATGCTGATACTCCTATGGATACAGTTTGTTATCTGCAGTAGACTACTGAGACTGAAAAGCAAGGAGAACATGTATGCCACAAATGCTAATGGAAACCTGATTCTACAATCACCAAGACTGCCTACTCTGTCGAATCAGCACGTGGTAATCCATAATAGAGCATTGTATTTTTTCAACGATGGGGTGTACTACACATTGGCGATGGCACAAGGTGGACTAGAGATCAAGTTAATTGCATACAATGCAATTGAAGATCGAGGAATACAATTCCTCTTGTCAGCGCCTGATTCTCAGACCGATCAACGCAAGAAAAAGATCAATCCGTTTGAATATCTATCTCAAAGCAAGTCAAAGGATGAACGGCGATCAAGAACAGAAAATCACACTTACGATGATCAGCACAAAATGCGCTCTATGAATGACAAGATTGTGCACAGACAGTTATCTCATCGGTATGTTGATTCTCATATAGTTAAAGAAAGGCCTGATAGTGAAAGGGCATATATTGCAAAGGCTACTATTGAAAAGCAAAAGCAAGTCAATCACAATGGAATCGACACGAATACAAGCCATGTTGATGTGATGATCAAGAATGACTCGATTGCAACAGATAAAGATGAAGAAGATGTATCTGAAGTGACTAAAACTGATGTAGAGTTCAGTAATGAAATCAGAGGAACAACAAAGGTAGATGCAGATATTGCTGAATACTTGAGTGGTGAGTCAAGTAGTAAACAAAAGCGATATGGATCATCAAGAATAATAGAGCATCTGGTTGAAAGCGACTCAAAGATGGACTACCATGATTTTGGATATGTGATAAAGAATGTGAATGTGAAAGAGATTGATGGGGAGGGCAGTTTCCTTCTTATTGGCAATAACAACTCCTGTGTAACATATTACAAGGGTTCGTTTATATTTATGCCTTGTTCAAGCTCCACGGATCAAATATTTAAGTTAGAACCTGCCGAGGATGTTCTTAAGAAGAAAGCAATAAGTAGCTTTGATCAATATGATTATCAAGGCAAAAATGAGATAGAGAACGAGCACAATCACGGACATTATTCAGTTATAGAAAAGGAACAAGGCGCTGGACATCATGGAAGTTCGTATGGCAAGGTTTTTTCTAGAAAGGCGTTTGTGCACGGTGATTATGGACTCTATGCAGATGAGCCGAGTGCCAAAGAGTCACCTAAAAGCAGTCATAGTGTTTGGCATGATCATGAATATGAATCGATTTCAAAAGCAAAACCTTACAAATATTTGGATGATGATCTGAAAAAACGAATGATGAATAAAGCAAAAGCAAACATTAAGATGGAGAATGTAAAAGTAAATGAAGGGAAGATAGACGGGAAAAGGTTCCTAGAAGACAAAGCTAATTCCGAAAAAATGAATGAAAACACAGAATCAAAAAAACACACGACAGATCATATGATTATACGAGATGAGTTTATACCGGATGTAGAGAAAAAAGCACGAAGTCGTTTGGAAGGAGATGTTATGGGGAGGTTTAGAAAACTGTTGGCAGGAGATCTTGATGATGGCATTTGAGGCATGCATTAAGTAGTGAAGGTCTTATTTATTGATGTTTGTTTCTAGAATGGAAATTAATAATAAAATTAATGAAAGCGATTGAGTTGAATAAGTGTAATTGTTGGTATTGTAGAATACCCTGGATGGAGAGAACATTTATAATGATCAAGCCTGATGGTGTGAAGCGTAGGCTTATTTCAAGTGTGATTGAGCGCTTTGAGAAGAAGGGACTGTATCTAGTTGCCTGCAAGTGTATGATTCCTAGTAGAGAGATCTTAACTGAGCATTATGCACACCTATCCAAAAAGCCATTCTTTGAAGACATGGTGAATGGAATGATGTCTGGAATGGTTTTTGCAATGGTATGGAGTGGAGACAACGCAGTCTCTATTGGAAGGAGTATACTTGGAGAGACAAATCCATTGAGTGCACCGATGGGAACCATTCGGGGAGATTATGGAATCAGCATTGAGAAGAATATTGTTCATGGGTCTGACTCTGTTGAGAATGCAGAGAAGGAAATTAAGCTTTGGATTGGAACGAATGTCCAGGATGTTATTCCTTTTGACAAGGAGTGGATTTATTAAATCTTATTTCAATGGAAATCTTGTTATATTTTTTTAATTCGAAAGGGTATTGTAAATGACTAATGCATCAACCGAAGACAAAAGTACAACAAATCCGGATGTTTCAAACAATCAAGAAGATGTGAATGTAGATGAAGAAAACGACACAGAGACTATCCAAAAGAATAACATGAGGGATCTTAATAAGCAACTTAATGAATTCTACCGTATTATTGCGCCTACGGGTGTAGAGATGGAATACAGAGCATATGTGATGAATCACATTAAAAAATCCATTGAATCAACCATTCCAAACACGAGAGTGGTGACATTCGGCAGCTACAGAACCAAGTTGGTTATACGTTCAAGTGATATAGACCTTGGGGTGTTGCTTCTTGATCCGCAGATGGAGCAAGAGGATCCAAACAATTATTTATTCAAAATCAAAAATATTCTATTGAACCATAAAATTGTTGATAAAAAATCTGTTTTCCACATTTGGAGTTCAAGGGTGCCGATAATTAAGTTTCAAGACAAATACTTTGGATTTAAGATAGATATTTCGATGAATCAATCAAGTGGTGTAAGAGCTGCAGTTTTTATGAATAACGTAATGAAAGTCTATCCAAAAATAAGGAAGGTTGCAATTATACTGAAGTATTTTTTAACACAGAAGAAACTTTCAGATGCATCTACAGGTGGATTGAATAGCTACTCACAGTTTCTATTAATTCTGAACTTTTTTGTCCAGAAGATAGATAATAGTGATAAAAGGGGACTTGACGATACTGCGAAGTTTTTTCTTGATTTTTTCAAGTTCTATGGATGGGAATTCACTAGTTCAATTTCTGAAGAAGATCCGTGTCCGAATGTGAGGATATATACCAGATATGATTCGAGTATCTCGATTGAAGATCCTACTGATCCTACATGCAATGTGGCTCTGGCATGCCGAAAGTATCCTCAGATCAAAAAGTTATTTAGGAAAATATTTATTTTAATTAATGTTGCTATCGGGAAAAAATCACATTCTCGTGATATTTTGTCTCTATGGCTTGATCCTGATTTTATCGAAGATATTTATATGCAAAAGAACATTTTACTTTATTCCAAAGCTTTGAAGCTTCTCGAGTAGGAATACTTACATTGTTCATTTATATTTAAAAAATTCTTTATATATATTTAATAAGAAAATAGAAATGTGAATTATTATGACCCAGCGAAGAGTAGTTGACTATGGCATGGGATACGGTCGGTGTTCTACCATTCAGAGCATTCAAGATATTTATATTCAAATGTAAAGTCGCTCTTCTTCATGAATGACCATGTTACATCATAGTCAAAAAACAGAAAGTCGCCTCTTTCATAATCTGACGTAATTAGTTTTGGCTCATCCAGGCGTTGGAACCATGTGAAATACTTCGTATGAAATCTCCATGAATACAGCTTCAGCTGGGTTGCAGCATAGTACTGTTGGATTGTGCCTAGCTGTGAATAGAAAATAAAAAAAAGTGTGTCAGTGTCAAGCTTTTTGAACACATCCTGGTTCTCAAATATATATAAAGGCGCTTTAGGAAAAGTTCCTGGAACATTAGTAGGCGTCATAGGCATGTATCTATTTTCGAGTTCCTTGAAGTTTGGGACGTGAACAAGTGAATTCGCAGTTTCTATCTCATGGAATCGTCTTCTTGCAACTCTTTCATCGTCTATATTTTGTGATCGGATCCTCTCCTTGTTAATTTCCTCTATCTCGGTATCTATGCAGCTAAAGTCAAACTTTCTTGTTAGCTCGTAGTTCTTAGGCGCCACATCTTTTTTCTTTGTTCCCAAAAGCATGGCTGCATTCTTCCAGACCTCTTCGGGTGTAAGGCTTTCTTTGGATGCCGGTTTTGTTATATTCCTTTCTCTTCTATTGTCATCCCTCTTGCCATCGAAACCTCTTCTCATACCTAGGGATGGCCATGTTGTTTATTAAATTTGCTATTTACCATGCATACAGCTAAACATGTTCAAGCCACCTGCATCATTTACACTGCATGACCATCTATAGAACTAAATTCAAATTATCTTATTAATGCCTGGATATCATGCCGTTCAAAATAGATGGCCATGTATAAACCTAGACTCCGTGGAAGAATACATCAAGTTGCATTTTACATCACACTGGCTAAAACTCTCATCTACATCATATGCTCAATCATAAATCAAGGAAGTATTGGGATTTTGATATACCTCATTTCCCAGATAATTTTGTTCGGCATAAGCAGCACATATCACACCAGAACATGGAAAAGCAAAAAGAACAGACAATTACTCCAGAGACTCGACCACATATCGATATTCATTTTGATATCTGGCACACAGACATCGGTTGCTCTCACACTGATTCCATTTGGCAAATACACAAAGCACATGCTGATGACAACATGGACGATCTCGCTTTCTGGTATTCTGAAGATCTTGCTTATGAAAAATCTCCATACAAACATTGATACACTCGTCTACATTCTACATGGCATATCTGTAATTCCATTCTTCAGCATCATCATGAAGAACATTTCTTTGTTTGATGCAAGTCTTTTTATACTGGGAGGTGCCATATATATAGCTGGTGGCTGTGTCTATGTAATTGAAAGGCCAAATCCATTACCTAAGGTATTTGGATATCACGAAGTATTTCACGTAATGACTGTATTGGCAAATTGGTGTTTCTTCATACCTTTATTAAAAAGGTATATCACTGCATTATAATAAAATAAAGCATTCATTAATAGTATATACTATACATCATAGTTAGTGATTCTTATCAATGGTACAAATCTAATCAAATAATTTAATCATATTGCTCAACACTTACAGTACTCAAGCTCCTCACTAGTTATGTAGTTGTGGATGTCTACAGCAACCTCAACACTCTCTCTCAAAATGTCGCATGGATCCTCAATGTGCTTGACTAATTCCTCAAGTGCCACTTCATTGCCTATTGCACCCAATGCCTCTGCACACTCGTGCCTGACCATTCCGTGCTCATTAGCATCATTCATCTTCCGAATCAAGTATGGAATCGATTCTATGTTTCTCATCTGTCCAAACACAAACGAAATCTCATGTTTAAATAATGATGAGCAATCACTCATTGCTTCCCCAAGTGCATGAACTGCATCTGAACTCCCAAGATCCCTTAGAAAAAACATCGCTTGATATCTTTTGTACATGCATTCAGAACTGTCAAGTAGAATTCGCTTTGCATCTTCAAAATTGCTATTCAGCGGTGGTGCAGGATCTCTTGAATCGTGCTTAGACATATTTCCCTTCAAATATCCTCGCTCTCTGATGTTCATCTTTGCAATATAGCATGTCTCAGAAATAGGCTTTTTAGGATGCTCAGAATATTTTTCCAGTATCTGTAGAATATCCTCTGATAGTTCATAATTACCTAGAGCCTCTCCTGCTTCATGCCTAACTATCTCATCCTCAGTCTCATCAGAAAGAACGCGCATAAGTATATCTTTTGATTCATCCAAGCACATTTGTCCAAGCACATATGCCACTTCGTGCTTTAGCAGAACAGACTTGCATTTGAATCCTCCAGCAATCGCATTCACTGACTCTGGTGTCATTTCATTCCTTAGATAGAACAATGCTCTCATTCTCTTGGCTATAGAAATCTCATCATCTTTAATAATATTTGCAGCTGCTACAACCTCCATCAAGGGCATCATTTGCTTTTCATAATGGTTCAGATTCTCATGAATATCACAGACCCTGTATGGAAAGAAATCTCAGATATCTCGATCTGCTCTTTCTATCAATATGCAACATGGTTGGAATCGGCATCTTCAAAACAGCACATTATGTTCTTATCCACACTGGGTCGTGTATATGGTCTGTTGCATTGATTGTAGCATCGGGCGCAATAGCAACAATGTTCGGTCTTTGTTATGCAGAGCTTGGATCGACGTATCCATATGCAGGAGGTGACATAAATTACCTCAAAAGAGCATACTCAAATTATGTGGGAACGGCATACTCGCTTACTTCAATTGCATGGATTCTTCCACTATCCTGTGCAGTGATGGCAGTTACAATTCATGAATGCTTCAAAGACATTGTTCGAAAAAACATATTTATTGCTGTGATACTTGTGATAGTTTCAATGATGCTCTCTTTTGGTGGGAGGCTAGTTACTTGGACAGTTAGGATCTTGTTCTTCTTGAAGATAGCCACAGTTGCGCTCCTTGTCATAATTTCCGCTAGTTCATTCTTCAAAACTCGTGAAATATCAAATCCTGCAATACTTGATCCAAGAAACGCCAAGGCAGATATGAATGCTCTTGGTGCTTTGAAAGGGCTCTGCTTTACTCAGTTCTCGTTTGATGGATGGAATAACGGAAATTACATTGCAAACAGAGTACAGAATCCTGGAAAAGCATTTCCAAGAGCAATCCTGGGGTCTATATGGGCTACAGCTGCAATCTACGTACTAACCACACTTTCGGCAATGTTTGTGGTTCCATACACAGAGATAATTAGTAATGGAATGTTTATTGAGGAGTATTTTAGGATAATGAATATTCCAATCCCATCGCGCATGCTCTCAGTTATTGTAACTTTGATACCAACAATAGGATCATTGATGTGCTCTCTTATTGTAAGCTCAGGTATTATGGAATCGCTTTTACCGGTGAAGTTTTCAAAAAAGCTTGAGGTTCTGTCATTATTGTTATTTTCTTTGGTTGTGTTTTTGTTCTCAATGTTTAAGGATATACACGGACTCATCAGTAGAATAGCATTCGGGACTTCTTTTTTCTATTCACTATCATGTATTGGGCTTGTAGTTTTGAAGATAAGACAACCGTGTGAGGAAAGACCGTTTAATCTTCCTCTAGCAGTTCCAGTACTGGCATCCATCCTAGGAATGATTGTTTGTGGATTTATTGTTGTTTATTCGTGATGAGCAGATTAAATAATTTTAAGATATGTATTTAGAATGGTTTTGTTTTACTAACGATGTGCTGCCTTATGCTACTAAAATGATTGGCAGTACTGAATTCATGTTTTGGACGCATATGATATCAGGTTTCATATGATGTAATAAAAAGCATGTGGCTGTGCAAGAAGCATGGAGCATGACTTTAAAAGAACAAGTATCTTTGATTCCAAAAACATTGGGGAGACAACATTATCTCTGATCATGCCATTTAGAAAGTCTACTCCACATGAAGCCTTGCAGGCAGTTTACAACAAAATCTTTATCGATTTACAAAAAACATTTATAGGCATTGGCAAAGTATCTGTGTGTAGAGATGTTGAAAACAAAGTCACGGTGCATGTAAAGGTTGAGCATACGCATAGCATATCGTTCATAATGAAGCTGGTTTCAGGATGCTTCAGGCACTGTATCAAGATGGAGCTTCCACTGTACCTCTATTCTCAGAAAACAGATATTTTTATAAGGATAAAAAAGATAATGGATCAATCTGGAACATCCATTTCAATCAAAATATGCAAAAAAGTTGAGGTTTATATATGCGGAAGAATTGAAGAATGTCTTAATGTCAGGATGGAAATATTTGAGATGATTGAGAAGATGGCAGGAAGATCTGTGGAGAACAAAAAGACTGTGGTACCTGTTCAATCAGCTGTTGAAAAGGGACAACGAGTGTTTTATCGCTCGAGAATAAATTCCGAAGATTGCCTTGTATCATGTGAAGATAAAAACCTGATTGGGTCTAAGGATTCGGCTATTGCTGATAAAATACAACAGTACTTTGAAAAGCTTGTTCTTGATGCTCAGAAGATGATGTATTTACTGCATTACAAAGCGATTGAGATCGAGAGCATTCTTGCATACAATCAGTCATATATGGACACAAATGACAACGATAAATCTCATGTTGATGTGACACTGCGAGGATTCAGTGCTCACGATGTGATGATGGCAAGGAACGGAATAGACCTGCTTTACAATGAAATAATGAAGCTGGTGATATCGGATGTCGACTCTTTCAGCAGTGAAGAAGCAATTGTATTTGAGGTTGCTGATACAAGGCAATTTCTTGTGATTGGGGAGAAAAAGTACTTGATGAGTATGCTTGATGAAGGATATGTGGAAGGAGAGATTGATGTTGATACGGACACAATTGATTTTTTGTGTGGAAAGAAAAACGGAAAAATAGTAAAAATCATGAGAGATGTGGACTGCAACATCAAGATACAGAAGAGGGAGAGCAGTACCAGGATTTGCATTACTATTAGCGGCCGCTGTAGAAATTTTGTACGTGCCTTGGAAATGATTGAGGAAGAGTTTCCTGAGGAGCTTACATTCCATATTGATGAGAAGCATCACAAGCGAATAATTGGATATGGAGGAAAGAACATACAAAAAATAATGAAGAAGCATGGTGTATACATTAAGTTTATGAGTGATAAGGAAAGACGAAGAGTAGGGCATACAGACAATGTGCTGATGAAGACACCTAGAAAGAATGCATGCAACCTTTCTACAATGAAGCAGGAAGTGATGGCGTTGATAGAAGAATTTGATGAAGAGCTTACAGAATTCCAGACCAGAATATCGTTCAGTGAGTTTTATGATTTTGAGCCATCAAAATTCAGGTTAGCCTTTGAAGGTGTTTTAGTGAATGAGATCGAGATGGTTATACCTTGTAACTATTATATTGAAGATGAAGACTGGCGAATGCGTCATTCAACTGATGATACGAGGCATTATAATACGAATCATATAAATAGAGTTGATGAGCATAATCTACAAAGATTCAGGATACAAAATAAAGGCCCATGGATTGTTAAGAGCTCTGAAACACTTTGTTTAGAAAAGATTACTGCAATGCACTGGATCGGAAATGTTGAATGCATGCCGATGTTTTCATGGTTGTTTAAATACGCTTACAATGTCTTTCCTATGTGTAATAGAAATGATGCAAAAGAACAAGATGCCGGTGAAGATGAGAAAATCATGCTTATTTGATAGATTTCATCACAGGACATATCAAAAGATTGATCATATGTGGATTGTTTGAAACTATGTTCTCATTTTGAGTGATTCATGAATGTGAAACATTTAATAAATGTTCATGCGCATTTGATCAGAAACATGGATACTTTGCTGAAGGAGAAGATAGATGGAATTATTCAGATGGGTGAAGGTGTCAAGGCACTTTTATTTGATGAGGAAACAAAGGGAATGATGAGCAATATAATACCTCACTCCAGGTTTCTTGAAAATGACTATTTTTTGTTTGATAGCATAATGAACAGGAAAAGAGAGAGGATTCAAGGAATAACATGTATAACAGTAATACGCCCAGAAAGTATCAAATGGCTTGTTGAGGAAGTTTCTGATCCGCATTATGAACGGTATATTGTTCTTTTTACGAATCAGATTGATTCTTTAATGCTTGAGATATTGGCAACAAGTGACATTCACTGCGTTATTAGTGAAGTTCATGAGATATACATTGACTTTTTCAGACAAGACGAGTTTTTATACACTCTGTTTAAGCGCGGAGAGCAATCATATGAAGGCAGGCAATGCAGAAGAAGAGCTGTTGATGGACTATTTGCATTTATAATGAATATGAAGAAAATTCCAACAGTGCTAGTGCAGAAAGGATGTAGAGGCCTGACTGAAGATGCAGAGCAGCTTAGTGAAAAGTTATCTGGATATAACTACGATCAGGGAGGAACAGTGATTATATTAGACCGAGCATTTGATATTTACACACCACTAGTGTATGAATGGAGATACCAATCGCTGCTACATGACCATGTGAACTATGAAGATGGAGTTGCAAAGGTTGGAAAAAAGGCATACCTGGTGTCGGAGGATGACTTTTTCAACGAGTGCAAATTTAAAGACATAAACGAGATTTCTGAGATGATAAAGGGACTTGTTAAGAGAGCAGAGGTCAAGAAGAGACGATTGCAAAGTCTGATATTTGACGATCTTGAAGAAAATACAAAGATATCCCAGCAAATAGAAACACATCTTGCACTGCATGCACACATACTGAAAGCATGCCTGAGATTGAAGGAGCCCAGTGAGATGGAGATGAATATTCTGAAGGGTAAAAACATAGATAAGAATGAAGTAACAAATTATCTTCTACGAGCAGATGCTCCTAGTGTTGAAAGAAGTAAACTTCTTGCCATTTATTCATTGAAGAATGGAAAGGATCTGCAGAAAGAAGCAAATGATCATCCAGATCTTGCAGATAAAATAGAATGCTTTTTGAGAAAGTATCCACTGAGCATACATGCACATATGCCATACAGCTATCGTTTTGAAGATGGCATTGATACGAAGCTTGGATATCAGCCGGCTGTTAAAAGACTTGTCCGTCATTGGTGGACAGACAAGCTTAATGACAGATGCTTTTCAGCCGTGCGTAGTGCAGAAAATCCAAAGGACTTCGTTATAGTGTATGTAAGAAACGGAGTGACATATTCCGAATATAGAGTATTATTTGAATTCTACAAATCCAAGATGTCGGATCATTCGAAACTGTATGTTATTGGAGATTTTATGGTTTCTTACAAAGATATGTTTGTTTAATTCAATCGATATGCAAATTTTCATTGTTACATTAATCGATCACTTGTAGTATCAAGTAGATCTAATTTATTACATCATCAGGTTCACTTTGCAAGAATGATCTATACATGAGCATAGAAGCCAAAATCATTACCAATCCAATAAAAAACATTCCAACAGATATAAAGTAGTTCTTTGTGCCAATGACCGACGACTGTGCAATTGTAAGGTATTTTTTTCCATATGGAAAGTTAGATGTGATTTTCAGTGTGTAATCTCCTTCTTGATCCATATACGCAGTACCCCAGAGCTTCCTAAAACTTGGGAATGGAGATATATAAATCCAGTTTACAAACCTCTCGTTGAGATGAAGATCGGGGATCTCTTTATAAACCGGCCATGCAGGCGGTGAAGCAACCTCATCACGTGTATATCCCGATGGCTTTATTGAGTCTCTTTCAGACTTCCACGAAATATCCTCAGTTCCTACTTCAGTTCCTATAATCTCAAAGCTATCCTGTGGAAAGCTGTTTGGAAGGATTCCTGCCGGATATATCACTCTTTCTCCTTCGTAAGATAAAGGTTCTGTTGCCTTGAGATTTTTTGGCCGCTCTCCCTTTAGCTGATCATGGCTTATGCTCTTACTGTATTTCAGGTTTGTTTGGTAAAAATCATGCATCTCTAAAAATAGGTAAATCTTACCACTTGGCAAGTATGCTTTGATATCTGTATCTTGTGTGTAAGGTATGCTTATTTCAAATAAGCCACTGTATAAAATTGTCGATATGCTCCCAAATATAATATTCAGTGCGCCAACAAACAAAAAAGCAAGAATGTGCTTGCCTTTTGATCTCGGCTTGTAAAATCCATCAAGCTTCTGGGTCAAAAAGTGTCTTTTTATTGCGGAAATATGCTCTTGAAAACTCATTCAGGCTTCGATCGCTATTGTTTGGGGTGTTGATAAGTCCGACAGCGTGTTCAATCACATTAAAAGCATTTGATTCGCAAACAAACATTGCATTCGGTGTAATCAATCAAAATCTTGGATCTATGCAAATGTAACTTAATCACTGGATCTTGCATTCACTTTTCTATTGTATTTGCACAGGATATTCTTGAACGCAATTCATTGCAATGAAAAAATTGCCCTTGATAATGGTAGGTGATGAACAAGCATTGTAATTTTTAGACTGTTAAGAGAAAGAATCACGGACGATCGAAGAAAAATCGCGGAAGAGTAAGCACACTCCATTGCGACAAGTGTGGGCGAATCACACCCAAAGACAAGGCAGTTAAGAGATTCAGGATCCAGTCATTGATTGAGCAGGCATCATTCGACGACTTAAAGCTTGCCACGATATACGATGTATTTGAGGTTCCAAGGATTGGATACAAGTCACAGTTCTGCATTTCTTGTGCTTGTCATGCCAAGATAGTCAGAGTCAGATCAACTAAGGGAAGGAAACTCAGGTACGGGTTCAATCCAAACAGGGCAGCAAATCTTGCTCAAAATTAAAAGGAAGCTTTAACTTTATTTTTCAACCAGTTTTCCAGCTAACTATTCCAAATCACATGTTTTATGCAGTATACACAATTATTCTATTATATACTGCATTTTACTCAACTGGTAAATTTATACCTCATTACTTTATTACTCTTATGACTCCAAGTGCAATCGTTTTGCTTTCAAACCTCAATGCAAACCTTTGCCTTCTTTCGTCATCCTCATTACTGCAGTTAAATATGCATATTGGAGATTCAACAGCTACTTTTGCAAGAACCTTATCTCCATGCTTACAAAATCTAATCCTGTTATTCTTCATGTCTCGGATTTCCTTGATTTTGCATGGCACAGCCACTACACCTATATGAATAATGCAGCTGTATCCAGAGCTAATCACTGTTTCTCCATCAATCAGGTTCAACCCACATGTGAATTCCTGAGATACCTTGTAATCGACGTTATTAAGATCAACTATCTTACCTCCAACAGATACATCATCGGTTTCATCCTTCAATCTGAGTCTTACAATGTCTCCAGGTAATCCCTTATCAATCTCCACATCCTCATCATCTAAAATACACATAACATGGTTCGTTGTATTTTGTGGAAGAATCTTAACTGCCATGTTTGGAACAACCTTTCCGCAATCTACTTTCCCATGGACATACATCGAGCCCATCAGCTTTATCTTCTGCGTTATTGTAATTGCAAGAGGCGCTTCATCCTTTCTAGGGATGCTTATCTTCTCAAGTTCGCAAATAAACGACTCTCCTTCATACCATGGGCATTTGCCTTTATCCTTGATGTAATCTCCTGTGAATCCGCTTACTGGAATAAACACAGGCACTGCAAACATCTTTTTTACAAATCCACTGACTTTTTCCTTTATTTCATCAAACCTTTGCTTGCTCCAATCAACGCTCGGGTCGTCCATCTTATTAACAAGCACAATTAATCTTTGTACGCTTCCTGCCTTCAGGAGCAGTATATGCTCTCTCGTCTGTCCTCCCTTCTCAAAGCCTGCTTCAAATTCGTTTATGCGTGCCGAAACAACGAGGATTCCAACATCTGCACGATTTGCTGCATTTATCATCTCAAAAACAAATTGCTTGTGTCCTGGTGCATCCAGAATGTTTATTCTTCGCCTGGGAAGTTCAAAGGTTGCTGTTCCAACTTCTGTGGTCTTTCCACGCTCCCTCTCTTCAGGATTTGTGTCCAGGCACCAACTCAAATACCAACTCTCTCTGTTCTGATCTTTTGCCATTTCTTTGTATTTCTCAAGTGTTCTATGATCAATCAGTCCCATATTTACAAGAATCTGCCCACAAATAGTTGACTTGCCTGCATCTACATGCCCCACAAACACAATATTGATCACTTCCTTCTTGCTTATACGTAACTTTTCAAAATCCATCCTGTTGGGATGCCATGCATTGTGTCATTTAAATTGCCATGTGAAAAATTTGGACGCTACCCTAATGATATCTGAGTTCTTTACACGCAACCTGCATCGAACAATTGATTTTCTATCGAAGGTTGGGCTTGTGTCAGAAGAAATCGATGTGAAGCTCGAATCCAAAGAGCACCTGTCTTTAACATACCAGAATATTAAAGAGTATCGTAAGACATACACATTTCTGTTGTGCAAAACCAGCAAGCTTCATTTGGAAGAGGTTGTGTTCTGTGCATGCTGCTCAAGCCGCATAAATTTCATAAGAAATCTAAATCTGATCATCCACTTGAATAAAAAGATGAGTGTGCATTGGGTTGGAGCACAAAGAGACGAATTTCTGCTCTACATAGAAGGAAAAGTAAAGAAAGATGTTGATATATTGATACAGGTTGTTTCCATGAATCCTTGGTTCTGGGATGCATACTTAGAGCTTGCAGAGCTGATTACGCCAGATATTGTTGACTCTTTAAATATATCAGAAGGATTGAGTGACTTTTTCTTTATGCATCTATTCTGTACGAAGATGATCAAGAAGGCTGCACAACCGATTTCTGGAGAGGTCCATGAATGCAAAAGAAGTTCAGTGCAATCTGAAAAGGTATGTGTCAACAAGAAATATCCAAACCTGGCAGGTGCGGTTCTCTATCATCAAAAGGATTTTTCAGGATGTATTGAAGTATTTGAAGAGATAACAAAAAGCGCATTGTACTATGATTTGGATTATGTTGATTTGTATTCAAATGCATTATACATCAAAAATGATAGTAGAGTGATTTTTCTTGCAGAAAGTGCACTTAAGATAAACAAGTATCGATCAGAAACTATGTGCTGTATAGCCAACTATTACTCTATGAAGAATGATCATGAAAAGGCAATTGAGTATTTCAGGCTCGGCGTGCGTCTCAATCCATGCTCTGCGATTTTATATACTCTTATTGGGCATGAATACTTGGAAATGAAAAAAATGGAGTGTGCAATAAGTTCATATAACACAGCACTTAGGTTGTGCTCTACAGACTACCGGGCATGGTACAGTGCAGGGCAGGCATACATAACAATGGGCATGCACGAGTATGCTCTTTTTTTCATCAAAAAAGCACTGGAATGTAAGAGCACAGATTCAATTGTGTGGACTGCATTAGGACAGTGCTACGCAAGTCTGAGAAGAACAGATGAAGCTATTGCGACCTTTAAGAATGTGATAGAACTTGAGGATGCCGATGGGTATCTTTACATTGGAGATGTATACAAGAACGAGAAGAAATACACTGAGGCAGTTGTGTATTACGAAAAGTATGTGGAATATAGCAAAGATGATACAAGGAAGATATGTGTTTTTCTTGAGGAGTACTTTAGAAGGATGAATGATGATAAGCGATGCTCATATTATCAAAGTCTTGCAAATAGATAATTAAAATAAATAAATACAAGGAGAGGTAAATAACAAAGCATTGAGATATTGGTTTTATAGTTTAGATATCCCATACTCAGATGGAAAAAAGAGAGGAAATGAACAAAAAGCTCGAGGAGAAGCTAAAGAAGTATGAAGATAACATTATGCATGTAATATCATACAACAAGAAGCTGAAAGAAGTATTGGAAAATCTTGAGATGGAAGAAAGGTTAACATTTGAATGGCTCTATAGATACTCAGGTCCTCATCAGAAAGGTTAACATTTGAATGGCTCAATGACTTTTTATTTTAAAATTATTTCGTATAACTGCAAGCTTTGATAGAATCGTAAGTAAATAAATTGATTGGTTTATTTTATCAGAACCTTTTTAGTGGAAACTTGAAGAAGACAGAAAGTGCCATTGCAACAAGAAATACACACACAAGAACTGCAGGCCCGTATATGTCATCATATGGCCCAGGATCTCGTTTTCTTATCATATTTGCTCTCCATAAGTATAAGTATAAGGAATAAAACGAGAATATTATCGCAACAACTATCAAAATCAATCCAAACACACTGGCATTCTCATCTCCAAGCCCAAGCAGCGCACTGCCTATACCCCCAAGAAAGATGGCAAATTGAACCCAAGATAAAAAGGTTCTCTCATTTGCAAAGAAAACCTTAGGCTCCACACGAACAGGAATTGATATCCTCTTTCCATGCACGTCTATTGGGCTCAGTCTGTCGCTATTGCTGGGATCGCTTTCTGCAGGAATTTCCACAAGAATGGTGTCTTCAAACGACTTCCTCGTGCCATCAGGATGGAAAGGGTCTTTTCTTATATCAACACTAACTTGTGGTAACCAATAAGGAATGTCTTGGATGAATGGATAGAGAACTGCACATCCATGCAGATACTTGGAAAACTTGTGAACATGCTCAACCAAGGGACCATTTATGAGCTCCTCAATCCACTCTGGCTTTGTATCATCGAAGTTTTGTGTTTTCACTTCCAGTATTGCATGAGGAAAGCGAACGATCTCATCCCTAGGTAGCCCTCTGAATGGAAATTCACAGTTCACATCACTTCTCTTCCATCTTCTTATAGGAAACGACGGATCTGCAATGTCTGCATCACTGCACTCCTTTATCATGCAAAGATCACTGTCTAGACTTATTCTAACACTTGAATCCGTTGGAAGCTGAAATGCATTTCTCCTATAAAATGTCCTAACCACAGGCCTAAGCTTTTTCTCAACAATCGAAGACTGAATCTCCTCATATAGCGTCCTTACATCTTCGCCTTTGTTCAGTTGGCGCACATCTTCCCATACATCTTTGCCATTGATAAAATCAAGTACATGCCTCTCACTCATCATGAACCTCAATTTCTTGCTGGTCTCTCCTGTCCATCCATCTTCATGCTTTTTCCTTTCTATAAACACAACTTCAGGTTCTTTGGATGTATACCATCTTATCCTTATCGCTTCTGAATGATGGAGCTTTTGTAATCTTTCTTGATACAGATCAAATGTTGTATTGTCAAAATATACCGATGACACACATGCATCATGTGTCTCCTTGTTCCATGAGCTATACGGACTATCTTCATCTTTACCATCAAACACATAGATCGGAAGATGTTGTGTAATATAGAACTTCAATGGAATCACATTTTCCTTGTGAACCCAGTACTTGTCTGTTCTTCTGATAAATTCACTCCCACTCTCGTTCTTCTTTATTTTAAGCTCTTTATTCTTCAATGAAATCTTGCTTACCTTATATATCAGTGCATCAAGATCCTTAACAGACGTGCGCTTCCCATGCAGAAATTCTTTGTATGATACAAACATCTTTTTGTCACTGTTCTTATCGTGTCTTTTAAGCAGCTTCTTAAATCCTATGGTGTTTATCCTTATAAACTCTGCGAATCGGTGCATTTCTTCTGTTACCTCTTTTATTCCTTTTCTTGAGGCATCACCAGTCTTCTTCTCAAGTGTCTGTAACTTTCTAGAAAGCTCTAGTTGCTTGGAATCTACAAAGCCAAACACTCTTTGAATGTTCGCTTCAAATTCTTCTTCAAATTCTCCTTGGTCTTCAGCAGTAAATACTTCTCTTCGTAGTATATTTCTTAGGTACTCATAGTCAAGATAGTTGTATCTATAAGGCATATGCATATTCCTCTTCAGATACTTCTGAAATCGCATCTCAAACTCATGTGCTTGTCAATATATACATCTTTTGCTTCTTGTTTCATCATTCACAATACAATTCTATCCATGTAAAACACCGTTTCAAATGGATTTCATGTTCATAACCTTATCATATTCATCTATTAATTGCATGATTATCTATTATCTTATCACATTTATATTAAAAATGTATGTTTATCTCTTAACTTATTACATCTATCTCTTAACTTATCATGCCTATTTATCGTCTTATCACACCTATATTCTAAGTTACAACACCTATATATTTTATCATACCTATATATTGCTTTATCATTGTAAGCATACACTTTAAATCTATTACCTCATCATTATTTATCATAACCATTCATTATCTTTTTACCTGTATTAATTGCATTCAGAACTAATTCCTTAATCTCGTTAAATTCAAGAATCGTTATGTTGTTCAAGTTCAGTGCACTTCCATCTAAGCACTTAATCCCTTGCAATGTCTTTCGAAGCCTTATCTCTTTAATCTTCTCAACCATCGCTTTACTTGCCTCTACATCCTCAGTGTTATAGCAGTTGTTTAGAAGCACATGTGCCAGTGAAAAAAAATGTGCTGGCACATAAGAATACTCATTCACCATCTCGTTCTCTTCCGCAAGTATCCGCTGCAAACTTTCCATCTGCAAATACATCGGGAGTCTGATTCTGCACATATTTTGCTTCTTCAGCAGCAAAGCAACATAAAACGGATACTTTACTATCTCCAGGGGCGAGCACTCCGGATATCTTCGCTCTACAAGGTCAAGTAGCGGAATACTCGTTGTAGGCTCAACCTCAACCATTTCGCCATGTGCCATGTGCATTATCTCCTCCGGTGATAGGCCCATAAGGACCATATTCTTACCAAAATAATCTCTTCAACTTAACAATTTATTCAAAATACTCAAATATTTACTCTGCTTAACTTTTTATAGCTCTCCTTCAATCTAAACTTGATATGCATAGCACAATCAAAAACTCTAAATCACAGCATACTTCAAATCACCTCATCACATTCACTCTCTACCACTTCCATACACTACAATATATGCTGTCCCATTCATCGTTTTCATATAAAATAACGTTCCATCCCATCTCATAATCCTTTTAATCACATTCATTCCATCAAATATGTTGAGCATTCCAATAACCTTGTCTGTTGCAATTGCTCTTTTATTCTCAGATTTAAATAGCAATAAGATTCTCTTACTGATCATCTTGTTATCCTCCTCTTCTTTTGACATACTCATAAACTCTTCTCTTCTCAACCTCTCCTTCTCTTTTATCCTCTCAAGTATCGTTAATGCTCTGTTTTTCCCCTTCTCTTCAGCCTCAATACTCCGCTTTATTGGAACATACTCTGTCTCTCCACTTCTCACCCCCTTCTTTTCTATCTCTTTCTCTGTATCATCTCCAAATATCTTCTTTCTACCAACATCCATCTCTTCAATGTCATACTCAGGATGGTATCTATTCTCGTTCCACACGTATCCTCTCTTCTCAATAAAGCTCGAATGCATCCGCTTTGAATATCCAATCAGGCACTCATCAAACCTTCCACTTCCTCCACACAGGTAAACAACAAACGTATCAACCTCCTTCCCTTCGTGATTTACACTTATCTTCTTAAAGTTGAATAGCTCTGGTGCAATAAAATACATCCTTTCAACATCATCAAGTCCTACATTCTGCTTAACAAGCTTCTCAATGCATCTCTGTGATTTAATAAATATCGTTGTAAGCCCCCTGGTTGCATTAAACCTTTCAATAGTCTCTAAAACACGGAATATCCTTGACAACTTCCTAAGACATCGTGGCAAATAAAGGTGCTCGCTCTGGTTCACTCCAGAATTACCATGCAATCTCGTTTCTCCAAACTGTCTAATCCGCTCCTTCCTCTCTTCCATACATGTCATTTCTTCACTTCCCCTTACATTCTTGGACATTATGCCTGTTTCATCAACCTCTACACGAATATTCTCTCTTTCCATCAACCTCTCCATCCACTTTCCAACCATCCCATCCCTTACACCCTTATCCACCTTACACTGTCCTCTCTTCTTCTCTATGCATCTCTCTCCAATTCCGTTTCCTTCCATCCCCACAGCCTCTTAAACCCATAAAAATTTATACAACAAAATTACTCAAAAATGTCCTAGGAAATAGGTGTCTGCATCTCATACAGATACAGATGTTTTTGTCCTGGTATTCATATAAAAGCTATTAAGGACCTCAGAATTAACCAAATCCCTTCTTCTGCTTTCAAGGGCATCAAAAACACTTCTTTTTATACCTTTAATCATTATCATTTTCCTATCCTGATGCTTACAGGAAGGACATTCATATACTCTTCCGTGGATATCGCCTTTACAAAAGCCTCTTCTCTGCTTTCTCCAGCATCCTTTCCAAACCTTTTCATTATCTCTTGCACAAGCTTGCCTTTCTTATCTCTTCCACGTACAAGCTTTAGCTTATACTTGTACTTAGAAATCACACACCAGGGCCCACAGACTGGAATTGCATGCATGATCTCCATCTCTCCAGGATCATTCACAAACCTATACTTCTCTTCTCCTTCTCCTTCGCCAACCTTCATTTCACTTACCTGCTCATCAATATCCTCAAAAACACGGAAAGCTATCCCCACTCCATACTCCAGTCTGTGCCACTCAACATAGTTCTTCTTTCCTTTTATTGCAAATGACCCCTTTGGTAAGTATTCTCCAGATGGAGGCGTCTTGCTAACCTGATTTCCATACACATACCATATCTGCGATACCACTCCATTCGCCCAGCAACTAGACATGCACAATGTCATTGCTGCCGCTTCCTTGATTGTATTCTCACTCTCCTTCTTTACAATAACACTTGAACATCCATGCGCACCACTGTGGAAGTACAAATCTTCATCACAAAGATACTTCTTCACAAGAATCTCATTCTGTTGAGAATTCTTGCCTCCTATCACAACAGTCCCGTCAGATGAAAAGAAAAAGTGGAACTTCTCAAACCAATATGTTTGTCTTGCTATCCTTTTCGTCTCTGCTTTTGGCGCTATCCTCTTCAGCACATCCTCAAGATTGTTCCTTGTCTTCTCAATCTTCTCGTTCAACTTCTTTGCCTTCTTAAATAGCTCGTTGATATTGCTGAACAAAGACGCATTGAAATCAATCTCAACTTCCATGCCATCCACGCATATTAAACATATGTGTGACTTAAAATCACATTTTATTATTGCTTTAGACACTTCATTCTGCTTCTTGTTCTCCTTCTCTCGGAACCTATCAAAGTCGTCCCACTTCATCTTAGACTCCCTCACTATTCGGAAAATATCCAGGATCCTTTTCACAAGGTCTTCGTTCGACTCAAGAGCATACGCTTTGGCAACATATTCATCAGATTCTTTTTTCATCTCCTCCATATATGCTTCTTGCCTTGCTCGCACTTTGTCTACCTTAGACACCTTGTCTCCCTTTCCAAACTTCTTCCTGTCCATGAAAAAAAACTCTGCTGCATCATTGAATGTTGCAAACTCTTTTGCCCCTTCTATTCTAAATGGAACCAGATTCTGTGGCTTCCCTTTCACCATCACCACTCCTCCGTATCCACCAATCTCCTCAATCTTTTTCTTAAACTCATTCATATATTCTTCAAATGCATCTATGCTTTCTTTCTTGATCATTACCCCGTTTTTCATCGATTTTCTCATTCCCATCACATCTGTGCCCAGCTTACTACTCAGTCCTTCAAGCACTTCTTTCACTAGAGGCTCCTCAACAGGCAGAAAATCACTCAGTTCATTTGCAACAAACATTTCAATTCCAAAATCAAACTCTACATTATTGAACACATACTCAGATCCCTTGACAACATCCAGGTCCTTCACCATCCTAAATACCTCCACTATTTTGTTGTCCTCAACAATTAGCACATTCCCTCCTGAAAAAAATTCAAACACAATCTTCTGCTTGCTAAGCTCAAAAATCACTATCCTGTCAAATCCACACTGGTAGATATCAACAACCTTTTCTCTACGTGCTCGCTTGCGCAGGATCTTACAAAAATGCGAAATATCCATGTCATGTCCCTCTGTAAGATGCATCCTTACTCCCGGCTCAGCCAGAAGAATGTCTTTGTTGCTGAACTTTATGTAGATGATCCTTTGAGAAGTGCTATAGAAGTTCTGTATGTACTTTCCAATCAGTCTCGACTTTAACTCATTCACTGTTGCACGGATGTCAAGAAATGTGTATCGTTGCTTCATAGGGATGCGGTCCAATTACAATTTTACCAATCTCCTTTCTTTCTTATTTGTTCATGCTCTGCATAGATTGGATACATTTATTACATGCACTGCATAGATTGGATGCTCAGCAATGCATAATCACAAATGCAATAAATAGTCACAATAATCATTCTGTATGGATAAGGATGCACAACAGAATTCCAATGAATGGAGAAAAGAAGCTGCATTATTACTTTCTTCACAGCTTATGCTTGAATACAATGCATTCTACTTCTACTCTGCATGTGCTGCTCATTTCGATGATCCTTCAGTATGCCTGCAAGGTCTTGCTTCCTTTTTCAAAAAGTCCCTTCTTGAAGAAAATGAGCATGCACAAAAGATAATTAAATTCATGAACATGAGGCAGCTCAAGATCAGCTTCCGAGCCATGGAGGCTCCAGACATAAAGAAGTACGGCACTCCAAGTAGCGTACTCAAGGCATCCAAAGAGTTTGAAGAAAGCGTTCTTGACAACATAGAGACAATATATAACATAGCATCAAAAATAGGTGATGCATCAATCACGCAGTTCCTTGATGAGTTTGTTGCAGAGCAGGTGAGATCAATCTCAGAGCTCAATGACATGTGGGTCAATTGCATGAGATGTGGAGATGATGGAATGGGTTTATTCATCTTTGATCAATCCCTACTGCAAAAAGATTAAATTCTTTTTCTAGCCATCTTGTACGACTTTTCTATGTGTTTTATCCCATGCATGGACGATCTACTTTCTCAGATAAGAGGCACACAAGTGGAAGATGTAGGCGAATGTGAAGATTCGAGTTTGAATCAGGAAGAGGTAGAAAATGCGGTTTGTAATCCATTTGAAGAGAATAAATGCACAGTTAATCAAGAAGACAGTGATTCTAACGATATCTTGTGCTCCTTAGATAATTTATGCACAGGCATAAGCGATGAGCAGGATCCTACATCTTCACAAACACACTCTGCACTCCAGATCATCAAGCTTGACTTTGAATTGCTAGAGCAGCTTAAAATCGAGCATAACATCTCTACCGGCATTCGCAGCATAAAGAATAGCAAGGCCCAGAAAATTGAGTGTGAGTTTGCAGGCATAATCAAAAAGCTAGATAAGTTTGGTAAGGATGTTGTATTCATTGAAATAACAGATCAGGATGGATCCATGTCCGGATCTTGCACTCTTGCAGACTCTAAGGAGCTTGAGCTTAAGGTAGGAAGTATCCTAGTGCTTGAAGGATGTTCGCTGTGGAAAGTAAATGGAAATCACCTGAACATAACATCATTAAATATAAAAAAGGTCATTTGATCGAAATTTACTGCATCAAACATAATAATAAACATAAATAATCTAATATCACATGTTATTGCATGTAGTTTAACATAAATAATCTACTGCATTCCTTACGCATGATTTAACACGTCACAAATAATTTATGCTGAACATAATTTAACACATCACAAATCGAATTGGTGTTTATTACGAAGATCAACTATGCATCAGATATCTACTCAAATGCCAATCAATAATCTACTCCTCAGAGGTATAGTTCTCAAGAACCTTAAATATCTTTGCTGTTGCATTATTGGCATTTTGGTAGTCAAATGTGATTATCAGCTTCAGGATTTCACAGAACTGCGTAAGCAACATTCCTCTTTTACGTCCTCGGTCATCAGAATCAACACTAATGAAGATCAATGATGCCTGTGAATCATCGCTCACTGGGCGCATAAATATGTACTTCTTCCCATCATACTCAATGTCCTTCGGCCATGTCTTTTCATCATGAGGTTCTGCATTCACAAAGCTCTGCGAGCATTTTCCCGCCGTCCCATTCAGAAGATTAACATCGTCAAAGTTGGTGAGCTGCATAGAAAGAGCACATTCTCCAATATCCTCAACCAGGCTTTCAAATATATCTAAGTACTCGGCATTCCCATCATCACCCTGAGAACTCATCTGACTATTTGGGGCGTCGACTGAATTCGTTCATTTTGTTTACACCCCGATGAAATACATTCTTTTTCTGATTGCTTCGATAATGGCTACGCTTTCTCAAGAAAACCTGGGTAGTGTGATCATTTCGATCCGAAAGCTGCATGAGAAAACACCGTACAGTACATTCTACGAGGTACTTGGTGTATCTGAGGCATCCGACATCGGCACGATTAAGAAGCAATATCAAAGAATTATGAGGAATAAGGCTCTATTTCCTGAAATCAACAAAAGAGAAGACGCAATTGCAATTGTAACTGAGGCATACAACATCCTTAAGAACAAGAAAGACACATATGACATGGTTCTTTCAAACTCATACATGTATCTTGGAAACAAGAAAAACTTCAACAATAACTTTTATTTACTTCTACTATCTGGAATGGCTTCTTCAATTACCATAATCGCAGCTGTCTTTGCATTCAAACGCCTCATGTCCATGCAGGCACCTAAAAAGCATAAGAACAGCAATAGCAAAAATAGTACTTTAAAAAAAGAATCTTTAACAAATGTTCATGCGCCTAGCTCATCAAAGTCTTCGATTAAATCCAAGATATGATCTTTTTCCATTCCGCTAGCACCGAATATTCAACTGAGTATGTATTGATTATCCTAAGTATGCATTACTTCTGATGCAGATATTGAATTACTACAAGCACTACATGAGTATGCAAACTCATCTTCTTTGCATTTCCAAAAACCTGTAGTTCTAGTTGTACATTCTCAAATCTTTTTGGTGCCAATTCAATAAATCTTTTGTATAATGTGTTATGCTCAATGCTATTGTCTTCATGGATTTTAGAAAGATCTGCTCCAAGCAACTGGTTGATTGCTTTACCAATTGGAAAATCATTTTCCTTTGCTAATTCAGCACATATGATTATCATATTAAAATCACGCAGCATGTTATCAAGAAAATACATTTTTTCCTTTGCATTCTTGCATGGCAAACCATCAAGTGGATCCTTAATTATCAGGCATCTTACAAACATCCAGACATAGTAAAAATAATCAAGCATCCAGAACGATGGCTTTTCATTACCCACCTCTTGGAAACATCGATACCTGCCAAGAATCTCTTCAAAAATTCGTCTCCTTGCATTAAGCATTGCATATTCAAACACAATCAAAACTATATACATCAACGTCCACACCGTTATTGCAAAGAAAAGTGCATACTTAACCTTGGTTATCTTCCTTATATCCATACCCTTTCATTTGCATCTGCTCAAAACCTTGAACAAATCCATCCCGTTATGGAAATCAACAGGTCTTGCTCATTGCCCTTCTTTATTATAATGCCCTGCAATTCCGCTCTGGCCCATGTGCACGCTCTTGTCATTCTCATCCTCATATGAAAAGGGAACATCTTGATTTTTTAACCTTAATAACGCCTTTCCAGTTACATCGATTCTTTCGAGTGCTTTACTACTACTTGTCTCACCTTCGCCAGTTGAAAGACTGTCGTGCACCAACTCATTATAGTAAAACAGATTCTTGTCAAAGTCCTTCCACTCACCAGACAATGCATATTGAACCTCAAAAGGAGTTACCACTGGAACATGAATCTCAGGACCTGAATACTCAAAGAACGGACAGTCAACAACCACAATACATTCCACTCCATCTATAGATATTAACCGTTCATATGAAACATCTCTAAGAAAAAGAAGATACGCGTTCTTTCCTCTTGAAGCCAGTGCATTCCTTATGTCTCTTGCCAAATCCTGGTAAACACTCGATGTAAACACAATTGCGATTATGCCAAAGCTCAGTATCTTTTCTCCCTTATTGCATTTAGAAGACAGATACTGCATTCTATCCTTTGCCTCCAGTCCATGGAATGACTCAGCTCCGTATCTATATGAATAATAGTCAAAAAACATCTGATTATTTGATATTACTAGCATGCCATCCTTTCCATCTGCATTTATTGTATTAATGTATCTTGAGTCATAAACTTTATTTCGGTTGTCATTCTCAAGTGCATGCATCTCCTCAACAGATAGCGATTGAGACACGCTTACGAAGTCACTGAATGGATGGAATGTACAGCACACACCTAGTAGAACAAACATCTCAAACTTCTCTGTTTTCAACGGACACAGTATCCCATCACCATTCAATAGAAACACCGTTACATATGGATGATTATGTCGAATATAATCATATACCGGTTTGATCATTTCCTTATACTCCTCCGTGGATAAAAGTCCCATTTCAAGGCCGTGTCTATCCTTAAGCTTTGCATCAAGACATTCAAAGTCCATTACAGGGATTCATTCATGCCAGAATAAGATTCTGAGCATCTAATTCAAGCCATATTACTTTTTGCTTTTATATAATACATACTTTCTATTCTTCAATGCTTCTCTGTTAGCAATCGACACACCTACAAATACAACAGCATATGCCAAATTGAAAAGAAGCTGCATGCTTCGTATTTCCATCCACAGATGCATATGTATCATCAACTCAATTGCATAATGCGAATAAATATACTGCTTCCTGACAAACACACAGTAATGAGCTGCAAAGTGTGCGATGTTGAGCAGCAAAAACATTTTTGTGTGCATTATTGTCTTCCCATGCATGTGTAAGCACATACACGTGTAGTAAGCCATTCCATGTATAAAATGGATAAGTCTCATTCTACTTCTTGATGAATACTTGAATACAACAGTCTCAATTAATCGCCTAAACAAGTGAATTCTGTACATGTTCTCAATTGGTAAGATCACAGACAGTACCACGCCATACAGATAGAAGTACTTGAAGTAATTCTTTGATATCCCACCTGCTATGTAACCATGTTTTGTGGCTTCGTTTGCAAAAGCATAAAGAAACAACGTACCAAACGGTAACACTATCAAATACACATCAATTGCCAAGCAAATCATCATGTGCATCGAAATGTTGTTATGCATCCCTCTACGTAAATTAATATGTATCATTGCGTGCAATTGATTTAATTTATGCATAATGCGCCAAGGAAGCTATTATATTCTAGTGTAAAACTTTTCTCACCTGATATTCAACAAGAAAAACAGCCATGTATCTGTCCTATGGTACATCTCGTCATATACTTTCTTTATGTAATATCCAGATACAGCAAAAAACAGAATTTTGTCAACTATAAAGTTAAACTGGCTTAGCCGCCAAAACGTAAACATGTAGTTGAATATGGACAGAAAGCTCGTTCGAAATGCTATCTTGTACACAACAACAACAACAAATACATATACAAGTCTTCTTTGATTTGCAAGATCATTTACCACCGGATGTCTTTTAAAAAACGTATCTTCAAGGTTCTTTCGGACTTGATTGCTCAATCCATGATGATCAGTGTCAAATAAATCTCGCATTGTTATAATCGCTGTGTTCATAACAGACTTTAGCATAACTGTGGATATAAAATATGAAACAAGGAACATGCCCAGAGTAATAAAAAATACAACTGATGCACTGGGCGTCACCTCTCCATTCAGCCTATATAAAGAAGAACACTGCTCGCACTTCCTTATGTTTTTTACTCTTTTTCCACGATATCTCCACATCTTTAAGCACATTTCATGCACAAATCCTATGCTGCCTTTACAGTCACATGGCGATATCAGGTCATCCTTCATATTGACTGGATTAGTCAATGAGTAGCAAATCTTACAAACTCTATCTTCTTCTGTATCTACATCAGTAGCAGCAATTGCTCTACATGTGGTACCAAGTTGATCAGTTATCATAAATTGATCTGTATACACCATGCTAGTTCATTTGATCGTTCCTTTATTTTCCTCTCTGCCAATCCTTTACCTTGATTGCATGAACAAATAGCAAACTTGTATACATTTTCATAAAACACATGGGATATCGGTACAACCTATCAGACTTTACATAAAAATGTGGTTCCATTGTGGCACAGTGAACAAACAAGCTCATGTTTCCTTGGGAATCTCGTGTATCTCCGAATGGCGGAGCATAGAAATCATTCCTGCTCCGTAGCTTCAGAGAAGGGTTATCTGATCAACAAATCATATAACAAGCAATTTATTTCAATGAGTCTCAGCAGTTGATTGTGTCTGGCCATTACTACTATCCTGAGTGCATTCATACACAGCAAACACTTTGTCTCTTGATGGAATCTTCAGGATCTTTTCAGTTGCAAAATAATCGTCATCAAATAACATTCCACTTGCGGTATCAATTGATACTTGTAATGCCTGTATGGACAATGGATTTGCATAGTCCAAAATTTCATACGGAAGTATTCCTTGATTCTGCACAAACATGAGCGTCTCCTTGTAAAAAGGTGCTTTTCCTTGCTCATCATCTAGGTTACACAGATCGGCTATGTCTCTTAGTGTACAATCAATTCCAATCCTGTTCCAATTATCACACTTACTTATGACGTTGATCTGGGCTGCCTCAAGAAGTCCAAGACAAAGCGCTGATATCAAGTACGAAGATATGCGAGAGCTTTCATTCGAGAAAAAAACAAGATCAATAAGATTCACAAGAACAACTGAGTATCCGTTACTTCTAAGATGCTTAATTATTTCATTTGGTATCTCACTTGATATAAAAAATTCAATCTGCCCAGGAAAGTCAAACAAAACGTAGTGATCTGTGTCTTCGATGTTTTCTCTAAAAAACTGCTCAAATCCAGATCCAAATTCTTCAAGAATTGCTTTTGTGGACATGTTTGGGCCAACGTCATATTTATGCTGATACGCCTCTGATGAAGACACGGCACATATGCTGTAGTCAAAGTGTGCATCTTTGGTATTTCCAGGATCAAGATTCACAATAAACGGATTTCTATGTGCAAGTGTATCCTTCTTACTTGCCACATATGTTGACTTTCCACTTCCTGGCGGTCCTATAATAATCTCTGCATACTTCATGCACTGGGGTCGAGCATAATATACCAAATCATTATGATTATGCCAGTTCATGCAATAAATAGTTATAATCACGCATCGCATCATTAATGCTGAATATTGCACACATCACAAATTGCAGCTGATACGCTGAACACACATTTTAGAGAACTCGAATAATATATACACATAGAAAAAAGCGCCAAGACTGATTGCTTCCAATCAATGGCAAATGCTTCAGAAACTCAAGAGCCCACACGCAAGCGCCTGTCCTCCATCGCCCCTAGGCACATCCAAAAATTCAAAACATGTATCCTTGGTGGATACTGCCAGCTCTTACACTGGCAAGAACAGATACTACACTTGATCAAAGCCGATTGGCTTGAGAGGTGGGGTGCCATGCCAAAATTATATTTATACATTTATATCGATCCAATCAGCAGGCGACCGCTCTTGAAACACAAGCAAAACAAAAAGGGCATGCCAGGCACAAAACAGATCAATGGGCAAACTCAAGGTGCTCTGGCTAGTGCTTATGTATTACGTGCTGTCGCTCAGCCTAGGATACTTGACATCATTCTTGCTCTCAAGAAAGACATACAACTTTAGATTTCCGTTGTTTAAGGCTTCCGTACAGAATCTTATTCACTTCTTGGGTGCATCTGCAGTGCTGAGACTGCAGAAAGAAAAGGCACCGAAGCCAAGCTACTTTGGATCTTTTCCGTGTGCAATAGCAGGTGCAACAGATATCGGGCTGTCATCTATTTCACTAAGGTTTACAACACTGGCATTTTACACAATGGTGAAGTCGTCTTCTCCGGTGTTTATCCTTCTTTTTGGATTTGCGTTTGGTATTGAAAAGCCGTCAATAACATTCTTCTTGACTGTATTCACGATCGGAGTAGGTGTTTTCCTGACTTCTATAAAGAATACGAGCTTTGACATTGTTGGTTTTTGGACGATATTGCTTGCATCGTTCATGGCTGGGTTCCGCTGGGCATTTGTACAATACATGATCAGAATCAGATCTGTAAGGCAGGAAGGTATTTTTGTTACAATGAGGGATTTATGCTTACCTATATCTTTTCTGCTGCTGATGATTTCGCTGTATGCAGAGGGATTGTCAGAAATGGCAAACTCAAGGTTTTTCAACACGCTAGAAGCAGCGCTGAGGAACTTTGGATATATCTCGCTGTGTGGGATTTTATCCTTCATGCTGCTTTGTGCTGAGTTTGCGCTCGTCTCTGAGACAAGTGTTGTGTTCCTGAGTATTGCAGGGATAGCCAAGGAGTTGATGATTGTGATGTACGCAATCATACACAAAGATATTATTTTGAGCAACTTGAACTATGCAGGGCTGGTTGTAAGTATTGCAGGGATAATGATATACAACATCAGTAGAAAACCACTTGTACCTGAACTGATGAACGAGCAAGATACAGAATAGACTGAGGTATTTATTAAATAAAATGAATAAGATGCGATTAATATAGTGTTTGATTGTTGGTAAGATGCATACTAATGATGTAGATGTGAGATTTAAAAAAAAGATATGTGGATGCCCATGGATGTGGAATTGAAGGAAAGAAAGGTAAAGGAAGCCGAGAGATTGAGAAAGAAGCGGAGCTTTCCGTTTAGTTTGTTCTATCATCCTGATTACTATGCATCTGCAGAGATATTTATGCAGCTAGGAAATTCTGAGGATGATGTTGAGAAGAAAGTTGAGTATTATGAGGAGGCAGCAAAGACACATGAGATGGATGATGGAGAGTACAGTAAATATCTAGCATCACAAGTTTATGAAAAGATAGGAGAGACATGTGAGCAGACTAATAAACGCAAGGCAGTGGATGCATACACGAAGTCTGGAGAGTATTCGAAGAGATACGGAAGAGATAGTTTGGCAGCAATATGCTTCCAGAGGATATCGAGTCTATTGAAGAGTGAGAATGAGATAGAAGCAGCATATACCTACTTGACAAAGGTTGTAGAATGCTATAGTGGGAGTGGATGGAAACATCATCGAATAAAAGCGATGAAAGATGTTGCAGAGACTTGTATAGAGCTTAAGAGATATGGAGAGGCCTCAAAGATATACATTAAATTGAATGGGAACATGGATCTGTTCTGTGCGTTTCTTTGTCAAATGATTGAAGGAGTGCCTACAGATTTACAAGTGAGTGGTGATGAAGAAAAGTTATGTAAAGCAATTGAGGAAGGGGGAGACAAGGCTATGAATGCCATAAATGAGTATATGCTTACGCATGCAATGAGCAGGGAGGTGAAGATGCTTCTTGAGATTATTCTTTCAAGGTTGCAACCCGAGAATGATATTTTGTAAAGTTGCCTGTTTTGGACAGTATTTGTTATTAAACATTAGCTTCTAGAAAGTAAGAGTGTATGTAAAGTGTGGCAGCAGATGAGATGCTTGTAAGTGATTGAAGTATTTCGGTATGTTTGTGATGTAATATAAGTATGGATGGTGTTGGCGGGTGATTGGTATGGTTTATGATGCATGATCAGAATATGCCTTGGAATAAAATTTTATAAATGATTTCTGCACCCATATTTGCAATGGTAGCCAATAAGAGCAAGAGTTCAAGAAGTCAGACTGGGATGCAGAAGAAATGCAAGGATGTGAATGCACCAAAGAAGCCGATGTCAGGGTATTTAATTTTTGGACAGGAACAGAGGAACAAGAATGAGGATTTGAGAAAGATGCCAGTAGCAGAGCAAGGAAAGATTATCTCTGAGATGTGGAAGAATTTGAGCGAAGAGCAGAGGAACAATTACAACGACATTTCGAACAAGGAGAGGGAGCATTACTATGTTGCGATGGATGAGTATAAGAAGAGCGATCAGTACCAGGAGTATCTTGAGAAGGTGAAGGAGACGGATTCAGGAAAGAAGAAAAAGAAAGGTACGAAGAAGGTTACGGGATACAATGAATTTTTCAAGGAGATACGAAAAACGATTTCTGAAGAGAATCCCGGGTTTTCGATGACTGATACAACTTCTGCTGTTGCAAAAAGATGGAAAGAGTTGAGCACAGAGGAGAAGGAAGTCTACAAGAAGATTGCCGATGAGAAGAATATGAAGGTGGGGATAGTCGAAGAATGATCTTTATTAAAGCGGTTCTATTTATGGTTTGATTTTGAGATGTGGAGTTGTTTTAGAAATTAAATGAGCCCTTGAGATGAAGAAATGCAGACAAGCGCATTCAAGACGGGTGCTTCGTATGAGTAGAAGGTCAGCAACGCCGTATTCTGTTTTTTTCAAAGAATATATGATGAAGAATGGGGTTGGGAGTATGAATTTGGTTGAGGCAGCGCATTTGGTTGTTAAAAGATGGAAGGAGATGACGGATGGAGAGCGTAGTGTTTATGTTGCAAAGTGTAAGGAGGAGATGAGCAAAAACAAACTGAGCGCAAAGAAATGTAAGGAATGCAAGCTGTGTGAAGATGAAGAAGTAATTAAAGCATTTGAGAGTGAAGCATTTAAGGATTGGAAGATCACTGGATATATGTGTTATCTAGAAGATGTATTTGATGTATGTGGAGACATTGAAGCATCGGCAGAGGAGAATGCTGTTATGTTCTCAGTGATGTGGAATGGTTTTAATGAAGAAGTAAAGGACAAATACAGGAAATGTGCTTCATTAAGGTTGATGGAACAGACAAGCAAGCATAAGAAGAGTAGCAAAACGCACAAGCGACTCCAGGGGGGCTCGAACCCCCAACCTTCGGTTCCGTAGACCGACGTTCTACCATTGAACTATGAAGTCTCTCAAATCAATTATTTTAGGTTCGCATTGAAAGCCGACTTACATTCGTTTGAAATAGCATGGTATATGTTGAGAAAATATTTATGCATAAACTATGGATTTATGAGATGTATCCTTAACATAATGTCTGGTCGTGACTCATCAAATGTATCCTTACATAATGTTTGGTTACAGTTCAGTACATTGCTCGATCTGGAATTCATTATAGCAGTAACAACTCGATTACAGTTCACTATAGCAACACAACCGATTTATGATTTACAGATGCTCATGCTCTTATCTATAATCAAAATACAATAGAATCACAATTCAACAGAATAAAGCCTGGAATGCAATACATAAAATAGTAATTAACTTAGTTTATTTTTCTTGCTTTTTATGCTTGAATCTTTTTCTTGCCATTGAAAATGAATACTTCTCTTTCCTCTCAATAATGTAATCATCCTTGGCAACCCCAAAAGCAGACGTATGTATTCGTGTATCCCTCCTACCATACGGAATAAATGTCTGGTCTCTATATTCCTTGTTTTCCACCACTTTGTTCTCACGCCTCTCCTTCTTCTTTTCCCCATACATCTTTTTCAGTTGATCCACAAGCATCTCCTTGTGTTCAAAGACCGAATGAGTCTTGAATTGCATGATCTTGTCTTTATATTCCACTGGAACACTCACTTTCCTACGGAACTCAAGGCACTTCTGATATCCTTTGGATGCTGATGCCCTCAGATCTTCAAACCCATCAAGAGTATATCCATCAAGATGCTCTTGTGGAATCGTACCTATCTCCACGTCTGGAAGATACGTCTCTTGTATGTTGAAGAAGTGAAAAATATCAGTGTATGTAACAAAACTGTACTGCACCCCAAGTCCTCGTACACGTCCAACTCTGTGTAAAAACGTTCTTTCATCACACAGGTCGTAGTTCACTACGGTATCAAGTAGAGGAATGTCCAGTCCTCTTGCAGCCACATCAGTAACAACAAGAACCCCAGATCGTGATGTATTGAATTTGCGAAAGTTAATTGCTCTTGCCTCGTCATCCATAGACGAGTATATCCCTCGGGACTCAAATCCATTCTTGTTCAGAATCTCAAGAAGTAGTTCAACCCCATACTTTGTTGATACAAACACCACAGTCTTTTTAAACTTGTCAAGAACGTTCAGTAATGCTGCTTCCTTACTCTCACTGGACACATAGAAAAACATGTGCTTGATTGTATCGTTGATCTTCGTCTCTATTTCAACTATTTTTATATCCAATGCATGATTTGGAAGCGTTGCACTAAAAAAGGCTTTCTGGCACATTAGCCTTTCATTTAAATCCACAAATACTCTCCTAAGATTCGGCTCCTCCAGAATCCTGTCTATTTCGTCCACAACGAGCATATTAACATCCACATTCTCAATACTTCCTGGTGTGCTTATCTCAATCATCTGATCCGCTTCCATCACTCCTCTTGCCAACTTCTTCATTGCTTTACTCACCTGCTCTAAGAGCTCCTTCGTGGGCACAACCACAAGTGTCTTTTCTCCATCAATAGCTCGTTGTATTGCAGGAATCAAATAACACAAAGTCTTTCCACTTCCCGTCCGTCCTATACCCATCAAGCTTCTCTTCTCAAGAATCATTGGAATTGTCTTCCTCTGTATAGGCGTGGGATTCTCGTGGAAAATGTTGCGCAGCAGCCTGTAATCAAGATTCATGGTTTTAAACGACCCGCCCTTGATTTTTCCTTCTTTGCCACCCATGGGTTGTTCAGCACACAAACATAAAAATCCGCTTTGGTTGCATTCCCATGCTGGTATGTGACGCATGTGGTTTAGAACTCACTCTGACAGATACCACATACGTATGTCCAGAAGGGCACATCTTAGAAAACAAAATAGAGGTTGAAAACGAAGCAGTGCAGACAACTACTGAAAAAATAGCAAAGGACATTCTAGATCCCGTTTCAATCATCAAAAGTACATATGGCACAGACTACACATATCTACTGCTCTTCTACTATATGTTCGAAGATATCAGGATATACCTGGGCATTCAGTCGTCAAAATACTTCGACATATTTCTCAACTTCATAATGGAAAAGCATGAAAAGAAGCTTGATAAGTCATATATTACAATTCAAACGCTCAGAGCGCTCACATACTATTCAAAAAGAATAGAGGCTGAGGCAAAAAGCCAGACATACTTATACCTGGACTACTACATTGCAATGGAGGCATATCCATACAAAAAACGCATAGATGAAAAGGCCAACGCACTTAAAATAAACAAGAGGCTCAAAATGGGCCTTCAAGCATCTGGGTTTGGCTTGAATACTATAAGCATGATTCTGGGATACTTCGGGCAGGCAGGCACCGAATTAAGAAACTATGCAATAAAGAAGGATCTGTTGCTGTTCAAAAACGAATCTGGGATTCCAGATGCAGTTCTTGAAAGAAATAAAGTTTGCTTCAGAATGGATCTGAGGAGAGACTACAAGATGATGCTTGCATACCTTCGAAGGATATGCGAAGTCATTCTTCTGAGTATTACCAAGGACCTTATAAGCAAATTTAAAATATTCTTCTATGCATCTGACTACACTAAAACAATTCATATACCTGAGATTGAAATATGCGTATTTTTGTATGTCTATATAATGATGTATCGGCGAGACTTCGATGTCATAAATGCCAATCGCAATCTCAAGGAAGTCATCCTCAAGGACTACGACTCGGCATTCAAAAAACAGCATTCGGATGGCATTGAAGAGCGTGAAAAAGCAGCAAGAAACCACCAGTACACACACCAAAGCTTTCAGAACGGTGTAAAATCGCTGGTGTTCAAAATCACATGGCTAAACTATCTTACATTGAATATAAAGATAAATGGCCTGAGGAAACTCCTCTTCGAATGCAAAGACATTCACAAGTATCACAAAAAACACTGTAATGCCGAAAAAAACATACTGAAGCAAAATATAAAGTACATAAAGATTCTAATGCTCCAAAAAATCAGTAAGCTATCTAAAAATAAACTCTAGAATTCAACCATAGAGTATTTATTCATTCTGTGTATCAACGGTTATGCGCTTTTTGTTATATTTTTACACGATTCATCACTGAGTTTCCAATAACTTCCCTAAGCGCCATAGTTGCATAACAAGAGCTCTTGAGGCAAAACTTTATCACAATGCCTTCCTCACAATCATCAACGCCAACATTATATGCAGTCTCAACCATCTTCCTAAATCCTCCCTTCAGTAGCTTGTTATCCATCTTCTCAAGCCTTAAAACCACATCTGTAATCTTGAAGTCTTCAGGATTGTGCACTTCTATAACATCATCGCCCACCAATACCAAATCGCCTTTCAAAACGCTCTTGCCCTTTTCTATTCTTTCGTTTATAGCATCATTAAACTTTCTGCTCTGACACGAGTGAAGATACAACATTCTTAGTTCTCGCCTCATTCCAAATACTATGTCCTTTGCCTTCATTCCTTTTGCCTTAGATTTCAAAATGTATTTCTCAGTGCTGTCTCCAATACTCATCGCCTCCTCATATCTTCCTGAGGTGTACATCTCATGGCACCTTCCGCACTTCATTATCTCATCAACCGCTTCATCATACTTCTTCTCCAGAATGTACTGTCCTATGACATGGTTCATCAGTTTATTTCCAAATCTCTGTTGTCCAAAATAATTCAAAAATCCCTCTTCAAGTCTTTTAACTACATTTTTATCTGTAAACCCCCTCACAACTACACTAAATCTATTTCCATTCAAATCACCCATCTTCTTGGAACAAGACTTTCGGATGTCAAATATCTTTATTGATGATTTCAGTCTTTCATCACAATCTGTATTCATACCATTATCTTCGTCTTTAGTTACTTCATTCACATTCATAGATATATCGCCATCCTCAGTATTTCCATTACATTTGGTATATTTTCCCTCTGTTTCATTACACATCTTGTTTGACTCAGTAAAGCATTCTTTCTCCTCTACACTTTTCTTCGAATAAATTAGCATTTCTGTTTCCATTTTTTTGTTACTCTCTTCAATGCTTTCATTAGTATGACCTTGCTCAATATACTCTTCCCATCCCATCACATTTGAACCTTTATTCAATTCAACAGCAAGTTCATAAAGCTTCATAAAAGAACACTTGACTGTCACTTCCTGGAATGTAACAGCCCTCTTATCTTTATTGCCTGCGAACTGAAACAGCGTAGACAGGACTCCAAGTCTTCTGCATATCCACTTCCCTGCATCAATCGTATTGAACATTACTTTCTGCATAACAAATGAGTAGAAATCAATATCGGTCTCTTCAATGCATATCCTTCCATCAATCGTTTTTGCCTTTACAAATGGATAGTATTTCAATATCTTGTGCATTTCAGTTCGCTTCGCTCTCTCGCATTCCTCCTGCCCAATGTACTCTACCATCATCTTTCCATCCATATACTTATCATAATTAACAATAGGTGATACTCCACAAACTTTAGACTCTGTTATTTCCTGTACTACAAAATCAAATGCTGTCTTTTTTAGCACACAGTTGTTCTCTTCAATATGACTTCCAAAAAACTTCTTTACTCCTATCATCTCACATTCCTCTGCCATCAGGGTTCTATATGCATAGTAATCTTTGTGTGAATTGATCTTTTTGTCAACTGATCCTTTTGTCAATTTGATATCTTGCATAAAGCAGATCAATTTAAAATAATAATTTACCTATTCTTACTTACTTACTTTAATCCATCACACACTAAATACGCTAGCTATTACTCAAACTACACTAATACTAACTAACCTATAATCACCGCATTAAAGACAAAAAACATCATTCTTTATTATAACTTGCATTCCGCCTTTTTCTATACTCGTTAATCTCGTTCCTCTTTCTCTTCAAGTCCATTCCTCTTTCCTTCACCTCCTCTTTCTTCCGATTGTACATATTAAGCAGCTCCGCATCATCTACATCCAATTGCTCTGCTTCTTCTAATCTCTCTTCAAGCACTAAAAGTTCAAACAACCTTCCCTTAATATCACTCAGCCCCTCATTCATGCATGCCATATAACTCTCAATCGTATCCACTACTCTACACAACATCCCCAACATCCTTCGTGAGTATCTCATCGATGATACATTCAAAAACGCCTCCATTGCCTCTTTATATCTTTTCATACACACCATGATATTCCCTAAATTCACATATCCCCCTTTCCAATCAACTACTACCTCTCGAAATATCTGTGCTGCTTCCTCGTATCTTCCACTCAGTGCAAGACATATCCCCACTCCATTTCCACAGTAATAGGATCTCAATCCTTTAGAAAACGCATCCATTGCATTCTCTAATGCCGACTCATTATTATCTTTGATAAAACTTCTTATACACATGTTCCCTAAAGCAATGCTGCTATAAACAGTATCCATTCTTTGTAGAATTTTCTTCGCTAGCTTAAATTCCTTTCTCTGCATGTGATGATATCCCATCAGCTCAAGCTCTTCAGAAGCATGCTCTATCCCATCGCCTGCAACTGAAAGAACAAGTTCGGCTTCTTTGATCGTGCATTCCCTAAGCATTTGCTTATCTTCTGTTGCATATCCAATATTATACTTTATCGCCTCTCTATACTGATCAGGACACACGTCCAATGCCATCTCTAAATACTTCACACCTTCACTTACAAGCCCTTCTTGCTCAGTGCTGCAATTCTCTCCAATTGATCCCACTAAAAACTTATCGCTTCCATCCTCCTCATTCTCCTTATGCCTATCAAAAGGCCTAATGCCTCTGCACATAAAGTATCCAATGTTATTCATTACAACAAAATTTTCAATCCAACAATTCCCAATAAGCTTCATATATCTTCTAAGTCCTACATCCGTCTTTCTTCTCCCCCCTAGCACAGCCGAAATCACATCACGGAACTCATCGCTACATCCATTCAGGTTCACATCATTCACTCCATTTTTAATCTGCATATACACCTTGAAATCACTGAACTCCTTGGATGGATAGCTCACATCCCTCATCTTCTGCTGCAGAATCCTTTGCAGATTATACTCGCTCTTAATAAACAACTTATCACACTCAAGGCTTTCCATATACCACCTTTTTGCATTTTCAGTAGATCCAGAAATATGCTCAATCTTCCCTCGGAGATAAAGACTTTCTGCATTCCTAGGAATTCTATCAATTAAATCCTTGGCTTTTACAAAATCACCTTTTTCTACAAGCTCTTCTGCCTGTCTAATCATCACATCCGTATTTGTCTCATCATCATATTCATCAGATGCATTAAGCCTGTACAAAGCATTTCTTATCCCCTCAGACTCAAGTAGTACAGTTGCCTTGCATATCTCTTTCACATCCCTTGCTTCCTTCACAATGCAATACCCCCTTATTACTTTATTCATCGACTTCTTTGCCTCCAGATAGTTGCCTGTATAGTAATTACATATTTCCACTCCTAGCTGGAATCCTGCTTTTCTGAACAGAAAAAGCGCTGCATCGTAGCTCTTTCGTTTCAGTGATGCAAATCCTTTCAAAATATCAAAGGTTGTCGATTCAAGTCCCCCAATCCTCTGCACTACATCAATCCCATCAGCCCCAGCCTGTAGTTTACATGCAAGCAGCATCAGTAAGCTTGTACGTCCTGTATCCATTCCCTTCTCTATTACTTGCTCAATAATCTTCATTGCAAGCTTTGGGTGCTTTTTGTATCCATGAGCAATTGCATAATGTACCATCAACTGAACATCACTGCTCCTCAAAGTCTCAAGGAGTCGGTCAAAACGCGCGCCCAGTGGCAGATTATCCGTATCAAAGTCAAAACATTCTCCATTTCCATGAGGAACTTTAATAATCATTTTAAGGGCCGCCAAAAAACAACCAATCTTAACAGGGCGCATACCATCACACAATCCCTTTTGTGCAGTGTAATAATGTCATGATTACATAATCGCATCAAGAAAACACATTCCATCCTCGACAAAATCCTTACCATCAGCTATAATCTTGCTATAATCATCTCGGATATGCTCTTCAACTGTGTGTTCACACATCAGCTCTCTAATCTTCTCCCTGCATCTTCTGATTTCTCCTATAAGGTCATTCATCTTGACACAGATGTCACTTTGCCCTGAATCTCTTTGGATAACGCCAATCGATGTGAAATACATAAACACAAGGTGGTTGATTTCATTTTGTAGCTCTGTGGTTCTCATTATGCAAGGATGCATGAATTGCAATTGTACACTTAATGCAAGGCAAATTTTGCCCTTAATATAAAATGGTATGTGAATTCAATGCGCTAATTTAAGAGAACAATAAGACTTGGAAGAATCATCACACCAGAGATTAAGGAAATGAGGAACACATATGCAATAATCGTCGGTATTATCGACAAGACATTTGTGCTTTTGCAGAGAAAGGACGGTGTGCGAGAGGTGTGTGCAACGAACAAACTGCATCTTGAGGAAGAGGTGCTTGATATCAACGGACTCTCAGCGGAAGAGATAGGGAAACTGATTCCTGATGATATTTGTGTTAAGGACACCACAAATGACTTTGACAGGTTCAAGCAGAAACTCGCCAAGCGAATCGAGGATGAGATACTGAGGGAGAAGGGATTGGCATGATTAAACACTTTTCTTTACATTATGTATTTATTGTCATATGGGTCCAGTGTAGAGCGAAAGCTTTACACTAAGACTGATATTTACGATCAAATTGTACCTATTGATGGTTGGATTTGGCGCATTTATCTTGTATGAAGCTGAACACGGCCTGTATGTTACGTGCTCTGTTATTAATGCCATTCAGATGGAATGCGCTTGGTTCTTTGAATTTGTCTTGGTTAATGGTTTGATCTATGTAGCTGGGCTGCTTAAGCGATTCTGATACAGACTTCAGGACCTTGTGTGCATCTTTGGATGTTAGAGGCGTGCGCTCAAACATATCATGTTCTAAACCCTCGACATTCCATTCATCTTCAGCACGTGCCTTTGACATCTTGAACAGCACATGCGATCGCCCCTTGAATACTATGCAGGAAAGCTCAAGCGCATTCATGGGAAATGCATATGTGTGGGGAATTGAGGCTTGCTTTATTCTGTCAAGCTCCAGAAGCATGTATAACCTATTATTATGATCTATGGACATTCGGAATAAATAAACACAGCAGCATTATATATGTGTATCAGGTGTTTATGAAGTGTAATGAAATTGCTTGTGAATAAGCAGTGCATGTTTTAGATGTGTAACGCAAAGAGCAGGATTCAATTTGTTCGAAATGAAACTGAAGATCCAAAACATATAAAAGCGAAAAGACAAAGCCGGAAAATCAGGATGGATGAAGATGAGAATGGAAGGCCAATAGAAATACCATCGAGAGGAAGGCCTCGGAAACGAGACACGGAGTCTTTCCTGAATGCCAATGGCTTCCAAGACCAAGATAATAATCAGGACCTGATTGAGTTTATGAAGAAAGTCAACTTTACTTCTATGGACGGATCAACGAGCATGCCAGAATCTGCATTTGATGGATACTTTCATTCGAGCAATTCAAATAGTTCGTATAACAATCAGCTTACAGATCTGAAGAACGCATATGAAACACACAAACCATTTTCTGCAGATGATGGTCTCTTTGCATACGATGTATCCGAAGCCAAAAGAATAGGAACCATGGGCATGCATGACACAAGAAGTGGGGCTGATATAGCAGTTAAAGATGGGTTCTTGATAGATGCTATAAACCAAAGCACAGCTGACAATTGCATAAATAGTAGCAAAAGCCAATGTCTGGATAACAGCATGATGAATGGAATGCAACCTGCATATTTGTTTGATAAATTCAATCCCATGAATGAGAACCACAATGGATTTTATGCACAGCCTGATAGGAATGTAAAAGCAGAACCGAATCGTATTGAAAGCTATATTCCCATGGAAAATATCCCTTCACAGGCATTTCAACGGTCTTATTATCCAAAAAATGGTTTTGGATATGCAAATAGTCACAATCACAAAGGAGGAGGGTTTCCACTATGTTCTACTTGGAGTGATAATAGAAAAGAACCTTTTTTCCCTCATCAACCAGACTTTGATCATGACCATGGATACTCAACACAGGGACGGTATAATGATCGGATGAGCATGAACACAAATACACCATGGAAAAGAACAGGAATGTCTGTGCCTAAAGAAGACATGGAGTATTATTACAGAAACACAAGTAGTGATAGATCTTCTCATTCTCCATTACCTACTAATCCCTTTGGTATGCATCGACATGAAAATTTGTCTCAGGATCCAAGGTATCGACATCATCAGCATCCACAAATGTTTATGAATGGTACAGATCAAGGCAATCGGCACTCTATAAACTCCATTGACATGACTCAAGATACAAGACTAATGCATCCAGCATTTAATGGCGATGCAGCACTCAGCCATCCAGATTACTCACTTATGGAATATGGGCAACAGCAATACATAGACTCATCAATGCAAGGAAGTGCCTGGATGAACAGGAAAAAGCGAAGAAACAATCCCTTGATGTGGCAATACATAAAAACAAACCAGACATTCTATCCAAGCATTGTGCATCCATCGAAATACTCAAGTGTTGACTTTGTTCAGGGAATGGAAGACAGCCAGAGAATGTATCTTGGAGGACTCCGAAGAGCGTCAGCTGAAAAGGACAATGGCAATTCGTCATTCCCACTGTTTCTAAACTCAAACAAGGCGTCTCCCAATGATTTCAAGGAAGTCATTCAAAACTTCAAGAACTCAGTAAGCGAGCTTGACTTCAACAATGTCACTGTCCAACAACTCAAGGGATTAATGAAGGAATTTGGACTGAACTATTCAGGTAAGAAAAACGAACTGATTGAAAGGCTCCAAGAAATTCTTGCAAAAATAGACGATAGGCAGGATGCAAACCCAGAAGACCAACAACCACATGAAATCCCAAAAGAGAAGGAGGCCGATGACTTTGAGTTCTACTTCTTCTGAATGTATATAGAAAACTCAAAATAAACTCTCTATTTAATTTCAACCAAAAACAGTTTATTTCTTAGCTTTACTCTCAGGCACATTCACAATTCTCTTATTCTCATAATACTCTGATTCCGGCCTTCACTGAAACACCTAATGAATTATGCATTCACTTCTTCTTACTTCCAGACTTCGGAGGATTGTTTTTGAACAGGATGATGTCCCCATCATTTACAATGTAAGCTTTTCCCCGTTGATAATACTTTCCAGCCTTCTTTACTTCTACTTCACTCCCGTACTCTTTGAAATCTTCAAAAGACATCACTTCTGCCATAATAAAGTAGTTCTTGAAGTCAGAGTGAATCACACCTCCAGCACATGGTGCACTGCTTCCTCTTCTTATGATCCAGCTCTTTACTTCATCATGCCCAACTGTGAAGAAGTTAATCAGGTTTAACAGCTCATATCCTTTCTTGATAACCTTTTCCAAAAATACCCTAGATTCGCTTCTGCTTTCATACGCTGCACTGAAAACAATAACATCAGCCCCATACTTCTTGATAACTGCCCGTACATGCTTGTTTAAACGGCGCTGCTCATAGTCCTCGTCGCTGATGTTTGCAAGATACACAACATTCTTAACTGTGAGTAGATTCAGCGTGCTGATGTATGCAATCTCGTCATCTTTGAACGTGTGCTGATTTACCCATTCAACCTTCAGTATTTCAAGTAGCCTGTCAACCAACAATACCTGGTCCTTGAGCTTCTTGTCAAGAGTTTTCGCCCGAATCTCCTTCTGCATCTTCTCTGCATGCTTCGATAGCGTTTCAAGATCCTTCAGTCGGAGTTCTTCATTCACTGTGTCGATGTCTCGTATGGGATACACTGTGTCTTCAAAATGCGCTACATTCGGATCCTCAAAGCACCTCACTACATGGAATATCCCATCTACATTTCTGATATGGTCAAGAAAATGATTCCCTAATCCAAGTCCTATACTTGCTCCCTTCACAAGTCCTGCTATGTCCGTAATGCTCAAATACGCCTTCTTTACATTCTGTGGTTTATACTTCTCCACAAGAAAGTCCATCCTTTCATCCTCAATCTCAACTCGCCCCTCAGATGGATCAATTGTACAGAACGGATAGTTCTCTGCAGGCACTGTACTCTTTGTCAAAAAGTTGAACAGCGTGGACTTTCCTGCATTCGGAAGCCCCACTATACCCATACTCAGGTTGTGTGACTTAGAAGATCTTGCAAATAGCACAACCTTCTTCTCATCCATTTGGGGATTCATTTTCAACTCAATATCTACACTCACTAACTTCAATTCAATGCATAAACTCTGCTCTAAAGTCAGCATCACATATAATTGCAATTACAAAACAATAGCAAATCATACAACTATTTATTCCGATCGGTCTTGAAAACAGCACATAGAGAATACAGATGCAAAAAGCCTTGAAAACCATCCTTTCTCCTCTGGCTTCTCATCAGGATCCTGATACACCACAAACCCATCCAGGGTGTCTTTCTCTGTTTCTGTGAATTCACTTTTGTTATGATCACCTTCATAACTTCCTTCCTGCTCTTGTATATCGTTTGTACAGATGGATGCCTGAGAAGATGACCTGCTACCTCGAGAGAGGTCAGAAATCTTATAGTGTGCATCACACACATGAACATTGCAGTTCATGCCATACTGCTTTATATCGCTATCACTACCTTCCTGCACAACATCTACATATTCCACTTCCTGTTCAATTACATCTACAGTCACTACATCCTTCGACTGCATCACCATGTTTACCATCTCCGTGCTTGTCTCATCCTTCTCATCATCAAGCTCTGCAAGAAGCTTCCTTTTGACATTCTCAAGACGCTCCTCTTTACAATCATCAATACATCCCTCCTCCTTGTACATGGGTTCCTCACTCCACATTACCTCCTTTATGCATGCCTTGTACTCCTCAACAATTTTCGAATTTTCCACGCCATTTGTTTTTATTGTATCCGCCTCCATCAACTCTCTATCACATACATCACTCAACTCATTCTTACACGTCACTTCTTCATTAAGGTTCTCAACCATGCATTTTACACTTATTCCATTCATACATCTGTTATCGTCCATTCCACTCTCAAACAATCGTTTCTTAATCTCCACAAAGTTTCCTTCTGGACTTTTTATCTTCCCCTCTATTCGGTCAACCCTTATTGAAACAAGGTTTCCAGGCCCTGTAATGTTTTTCCTTGCAAGAGACTCTTTCTCCAGTGCTGCCATCTTACTCATACTCCTCTTAAAACTTGAAACACCATCTTCTTCCTTGCAACCAATGCCCAATTCACTCATGGGTCAAAAAATGATTGCATATTTCAAGCTCTCTCGTTGTGTCTTAAACTCGCTGTCTATGCATACCACACATGCATTTACATGTGCATATCTGTTTTCAAGTATTCATATTTGCATTCTTTAATTTGGTTCGGCTTTCTACGTGTATTCAATAACATCTGCAAAGTCTAAACATTTAATTTACGAATACATGCAATCACAACATGTACGTGCATAATACTGTGCATAATACGAATTAATAAAGCGGCAAGTTTACTCAACATCCAAATTAGTCATTGATTATGTTTATATCTTAGGTTATGCAATCAAAACATCAGTTGTGCTCAAATATTTCTATGTAATTATATCATAGCAATTAACATTGAGTCATCTGTGTTAATCATAGGCATTGAAAAATTATCCATGGTTTATAAAAGAAAGAGAAATGTAAAGATAGACAACAGCAAGTCATATGTGATATACAAGCCAGGAAGCACAGACAGTCTTTTTCTCGAGGAGTATATACCATTGGCACTTGATACAGGAATGGAGGCTGATGAAGAGAAAGAGGTGCACTTGAAGAGCATCATTGAGGAGGGTAAGGGCGACATTCCGATTCCTGTGATAGTGGATGTTGATAATCCTGCAAGAAAGGAGTATGGAAAGTATATTGTACCAAAGAAGTATGTTGAGTGGTTTGGAGATGCATCTAATGAATATTTTGTTAACGACAATGATGAGAAATGTTGCAGAGAAATGGGGATAAGCAAGGAGAGGCTTCAGGAGCTTCTCTTAACGATAGCAAGAGATCAGTGTGTGTCTAATGAGAACAGGGAATTTGTAGAGATTGCATCATCAAGGATTCTTGTCAGGAGTGATAAGCTCGACTCGCCTGCTTACATATGTTTCAGAAGAAGGATAGTTAAGCCGAATAGAAGAAGCAGAAAATGTGAGGAGCAGTCTAAGGAAAAGGTTGAAAGGATGTGGGCTGAGCTTTATTTGCTTGAGAAGCTGTGCAAGCTGTATTACAACAAGAATATGCTTGAGAGGGAGTTTGAGGAAGTGGAGGAAGAGTTAGTTAAGGCAGCATACACACTTATGAAAGACAGTACGAAGAGTATAAAGAAAAAAATAGCAAGGAAAATTCGTGGGGATGCAATTAAGCCATCTGAAGGCACAAATAGTGGCAGAGAGGGTCTACTGTTTGACAGACTGAGAATCAAAGCACTAAAACAGCGGATTACTGAGGCTAGGGACAAGGCATGTACTGAAGACAATGAAGCAGAGGTTAAGGCCCTAAGAAGATACAACTTAATGCACAGCAAATGAAATACTAACAAGGACATAATGTAATATACACAACAATAGATAGTTGTCGTACACATGTGAAGTATATGCTGAAACTAACCCTGGAGAGGCAAGATGAAGTGTGAATGGGATGAATGTGAGGAGGATATTGAGGAGGATTCTAAGAAGCACTTTCTGATGCATATTGAGAAGCTGAGTGTGAACAAGTGCTTGTGGAAAGATTGCGCAAGGATTGGGGAGATTCAGGCTAGCAAGCATGCATTGCTAGCACACGCACGCAGACACACTGGAGAACGACCTTTTGAATGCCACATATGTGGAAAGGATTACACAAGAAGTGATCCTTTGAAGAAGCATTTGGCACGCCATGAGGCTGTGGAGAGTAAGAATGCAAGCCTAATTGCAAAAATTGAGTATCTAAGCGCTCTACTTACTGAGCATCGCAGAGAGACGATTCGAATAATGAATCAAATTGAATCAATACAGCGCAACATACAGGTAGTCAATAGTAAAATAGTCGATAAGATAAAAGAAAATCTCTGAAAAGCATTTATTACACTGTGTGGAGGTTTGTGATGTGTATTTATGGCGATGCAGGTATTTGTTGTTTATGCTCATTGATTCTCCAATGCTATATGGTCTATATATGAGCCTTTGATGAACAATGATGAGTAATATACCACTGCATCATTGGCTGTATTATAATACGCCGCTGATTCCAAGGATATGTTCAAGTATACATCTATTGCAATGGAAGTTCCTTTGTATTCAGATCCATCGCATATCTGCACCTTTATTTGCTTTCCTATGAAGTTTGAGTACATTGCAGAGTAGTCTACTTCCATCAAGGGCTATGCAGTAGGATTTGTGGTGCAGCACCGGCTATTAAAAATATTTTTTTGTGAACCGTGAATGTCAAAGATTTATTTGAAGACGTGGAAAGATAAGAGAGAGAAAGAACCAAACAAGAACCTGTCGTTCAAGGAAAGATTGAGGATAAAGCAGCAGATCATAGCAGTTAGGCAAGCCATGCAAACGAAGATAAAAACACTGAAGACTAAAAAGAAGACGTTCCTCAGAGAACGCCAGAGGCAGAGAGAGGCCAAGGCAAATGAAATAAGCAAGAAGGCTTAGAACTGTGTTACAGCTGCTATGTTGAGCAGGCAGTTTTTTTAAATCCATCAGCGATAATATTTTACCTGGATTAAATGGTTTGGCAAAGTTTTCAGCGTTTATTTGTATAATGAAAATATACTTGGTGGTTTTATATGTAGCTAAATGCTTTATTTAATCAATTCCTATCCTAGCATTCTTACTCTTGATATCATTGACTAGATACTCAAGATACTGATTGTCCTTGCATTCTCTCCTAAGATAAACAATCCAGTCTTTCAATGCAGACAGGTCCCATATAGATTGGTAGTGTAGCATAAATACTGCATAAACCTGCAGTTCCAAACAACCTTTCATCACGGCTGAGCTAGGAAAGTACGAGCCTCCACACATGAGGTTCCGTATGCAGACCTTTATAAGCAGATCCACGTCTTCGTATCCATTCATCAATCTGACAATCGAGTCTATGCTATTGAGAGACAGCAGTGTAACAAGACATTGCCTCAAAATCATCTTCTCAGACGGATCGGATGACCTGGATACCACAATGCGTGTCACTTCGTTTCTAATGATTCTTTCGACAGCCTTGCTGTTTTCTATAGAAATGTCTCCAAGCACAAAAAACAGCAGGAATTTCTCAAAATTGTTCGATGACTCAAACATGCTTATAAACATCTCAGTGCTTTTCTTTCCAATATTAAGCAACAGGCTCTTGGATGATGGGATGTTCAACGATGTTCCAGAAAGCACCTCGTAGTATCCAAACAACTCATCGATTCCTATATATTGCATCATTAAATGCCTTATTCGCTCCTCAACATTGTCACCAACAACAATCCTGCACTTGATGTACGTGCAGTATTCATCAATGTTCGATTTATCCAGCACATAGTCTTTGTCTGTAATGTAATCACTATACGGACCTTTTCTTGAGTATACAGAATACAAGATCATCTTAGACAAGACTCTAAAAACAGTTGGATGGCTCACATCAGGCACCAAAAACCCATTTCCAAATCCGACTTCGACGTTCTCAATGTCATAATCAACCAAGTTTTCATAGATCTGTATTGCAATCTCCCTCACATCTGCATTTTCATTTACATATGCATTAAACCAGCTCTCGTTGTTCATCACAAACTTGCATGCTTCGTGATTCTCCTTCGTTACTTCATATAGATATCTGAATCCTTCAATGTCATCCTCAGCAAGTCTTTCCAAAAAGTTCTCATTCATAAAAAATGAAAAATCGGCAAATAGCCTTGCATACTTGAAAAACCTTACATTTGGTGTCGATAGAATCACATTGATAATCTGCACATCACTTATAACTATCCCAGTATTCAGTTGAAACTCCAAGACTCTGTTTGTCACCTGTGGGTTGTTCAACATTGCAACTCGGATGTGTTGAGACATCAGTGAGAGTCGCGAGCTCACACAATCATCAGTCTTTCCATCCTCTGTCATGGCTCGTTTCTCATAAAACCTCTCAAGCACATCAAAGCTCCGCATAATTGTTAATGGATCTTCGCTTTTAAGCGCATTGATTGCAAATGCCACAGTGTTATTCCCTCCATAAAACACACAGAACCTAAGGAAGCTAGGCGTCATCTCAAATACTCTGTAACTAAGCTCTTTCTCAAAATCCAAAGACACACCATCCTTGTTGAATATATCAACGCCTTTCATAAACTCAACTATTGTTTCTCTACATTCCTCATCTCTCATAAACGACGAGAGAATCTCATATATGCATCCCTTGATCTTCAACGATATCTGCCCCACAAGAGTATTCAGAAATACCTCAATAAACCTCATAAAATACAACCTTACATACTCAAGATCACGATCTCTGAACATCATCAGCTTCACTATCACCTCCATAAGATGATGTATCAGCTTCTCGTCCTCAGACCTGATTTTCTTGTATTCTGCCTGGCTGAGTGAATTAATCATCTCAAGAGCTTTTCGTAAGTCATTAAATAATCCTGCCTTAGACAGCGCCTCATATCCTTTCAAATAGCTTTCCTCATCAACCATTAGTGAATATACAAACCCAACATACGATTCTTCCTTGTCTTCCTCATCAATATCCAGAAGAGCTAAGTCCTTCTTCTCATTGAGCTCATAGAATATCTGATATATCACTGCTTTATCTCTTCCTAATCTTAGCTTCTCTTTGCATATGTTGATTATTTTCTCTCTTATTTGTGGACGAAGCGCCTCTTTGAAGCTTCTGAGCAGTTCCAGTAGAACAGGTCCAAGCATAAACTCATGAATAACACGTAGATCATAAGACTTCCATGAAGATGTCTCAAACATTACGGCGAGATTCACTGTGACCCTGTCAGGAATTTCTTGCTCACTCAATCGTCTTTGTATTTTCTCGACATGCATCCCATCACCGATCATGCACAGTATGTCTACAATTGCTTCATCAATCCTTACCTTAATATCCTCAATTTCGAGGCTGCATTCCGGCGTTACCACAGACATGTCCTCAAATAAAAGGTCGCATATGGTCATACAAATATCTGTACCTAGATCAATCTTATTTCTACACACAAAGTCCAAGAGAACCACTACGTTGTACTTTAGCGTATATAATGCAAGCGCCTTACTATCATCTACAGAGTATGTCTTTATTCGCCCATACTCCATTTCTCTTGTACATAGCACATCCCTCATGAATCTCATATCATTCTCTGTGATCATGTGTATATTGTTGTATATCTTGTCTCTTATCTCCTTGAACCTTTGAATAATCATTGGCATCAAGATGGCTTTGTAGAATTGAAAAAATTTACGCACCCTGCAAATGAGGAAGTTCTATAAGAAGATTCAAGTCCACTGTTCGGTTGAGAAGACTGGGATCAAGAAGCCATCGAAGATTGTGTGTGAGAGATTCAGGAAAGCACGTGCAATTGCTGCAGCAGTTGCAGACGAAATAAGCGGGCTTTCGCCGCTTGAGAAGAAGGTGACTTCTCTGATAGAGGCTAAGACTCTTAATAAGGCAAAGAAGCTGTTAAGTAAGAGGCTAGGCTCGCGTAAACGTGCGACAGTCAAGCTTGAGAAGCTTACGAAGATGACTATGGAAGAATAAATGCAGTTTTAGCGTTCAAATAATTTGTGATTTACAATATATTTATGCATTTGCTTAGTGATGTTTCAAATATTTTGTTACTGATACAATCTCTTTAATTTTCATGCCATTATGAAATTCTTTTATTCTATTCTTAAGTTTTTAATAACAGTTTCTTTATTATTTATACTGCTGTGCAATTCTTTTACTCTTTAAGCTTTTAAAGTCGTATAAAATTCAATCTGAGTACAAAGAGGTAGTATAATGCAAGTATAAATGAATATGTAAATCTATTTTGTACTGATGTGATGCATTTGCTGTTATGTGTGCTGTATATAAAATACTTTATGGGGATGCCATCAGGATGTGCTTGAGATAGGCATTTGAGAATGAAAATTTTGATCCCTTAGAATGAGCTACACTTACGATCCTGAAGAGATCCAGTACATCATTCGTATACACAACACAAACATTGATGGTACGAAGAGAATTGCGTTTGCGCTGACCAAGATTTCAGGAATGGGCATAAGAATAGCAACTGCCATATGCAAACGCCTTGGAATTGATAAGATGAAGCGAGCAGGAGAAATCGGAGAAGACGACTTGAAGAGAATCAGCGACGCAATTATTAATCCGGGCAGTCTTGGAATTCCAGAGTCGTATTTCAATCGTCAGAGGGATCCTATTGACGGAGTGTCATCGCACCTGATTGGAACAAAGCTTGATGCTGAGATGAGGATGATGATTGAGAGAGGAAAGAAGAACAAGCTGATTAGGGCATTTAGACTTGATGTCGGGCTCAAAGTGCGTGGACAGAGAACCAAGTCGAATGGAAGACATGGAAACTCCATGGGTGTTGCCAGAAAGAAGTAAAGGGTTGAGCTTTTGAATTTATTATTTCACTGACCATTTCAACAGCTGATCTGGTCATTCTATCATGCAAGGAATACAGATTGTCTTGTATTCACAGAGTGTTTTGTTGTTCACAAAACCTTACTAATTATGACTCTGTAGAATAAGTGTAAGAGCAGCGCTAGTAGCTTGGAAGTTTATCTATGTTTTCCTTACTTACCATTCCTTCGGGAATGATGTCGTATTTGAATGCAAGCAACTCCTTGTATGTGTTTTTTATTGTTACTTCTGTAACATTTGTAACCAGCTGAATGTCTTTCTGAATCTTCTTTTCTTCAGGAAACAGGTTTGTTAACATGTATATCACTGCTGCAGCTATAGAGTCTGGATTCTTTCCGGCAAGACATCCGAGCTCGTGTGCTGCCTTTGCCATCTCGGTGGCTATCTTTTGAATTTTAATGCTAAGGTTGAGATCGGAGCAAAACCTTGCTATAAGGTTTTCTGTAGACATTGCTGTCATGCGCTCAAGATGAGGAGAAATTAACTTGAAGCTCCTTCCTATTTCCTTCTTTTGGACGGCAGTCATTACACTGATTTCCTTGAATGTTCTTGGGCAATCTTCTTGTCTGCACGCTATGTATATGCATGCAGCAACAATACCCTCGACGTTTTTGCCCTTGAGAAGCTTCCTTTCCTCGATGTTTTTGAAGATGTAATGTGCTCTATCAATGATAGTGCGTGAAAGATTCGATCTCTCACAGAATGCAGTGATGAGGTTCATTCCATGTTTCAATGCTCTTTCTGGCCCTCGCATGCTGTTTTTTGTCTGGATATTTGCCAGTACATATGAGTTAAGTCCTCCCCCCGTGCTTATCATTGTATCGAGTTGTTCAGATTCGAGATATGGATTGCTTGCGCTTCCTGTCCTACACGGATCTACTTTGTTTCCGTCTCCAAAAGATCTCCACTCACTACCTTCGTCTATTATTCTGTTTCCCACTATACATCCGCATACAGCACATACATGATATCCGTTTTTGTAGTCTTCGATTATGTTCTGTGTTTCTCCACAATCAGAACATGCCTGTACATATGGCTTGAACTTTGGGACTGTCTTCATGCCTATGGGCTTGATGATTTACGAATATATCGATTGTGTAGTGCTGATGTTGAACTCTGTGTAGGATATGAATTGCAACATCCACTGTGTTGTACATTGTTCATTTGTAAACGATCCAGCTTTATGCATTGCATGCATTCAGAGCGATTATTTACCAATTGCATGCATGATCACAGGCCTATTAACAACACATTAGTTTGTATAATGAATGAATTGGATAAAGCGAATGTCTTAGTCAATCTAATAAAGTACTTAGTATCATGTGGATTGTACAAATACTCTCGATGTACATGAAACACGATCACATTGTATAAATTGTAGTACACAGAAATAAACATCAAATGAACGGCATACTACTTAAGAATAGTAAGGATCAAGGATATGTAAAGATATTGGCTATAATTGTGGCTGCATGGATAATGTATTGCTGTTATGCATTAATGACTAAGGGAGAAAAGGTAACTTTGAAGCAAGGTTACTCAACAGCCAACTCGAGTATTTCAGATGTAAAAAAGATGACTAAGCAGGAATTGAGAGATAGACTTGGCAGATCGACATGGACACTGCTTCATGTAATGGGCTCAAAGTATCCTGCGTTTCCCACTTCTCAACAGAAGAAGGATACATTAAGCTTTGTGCATCTTCTTTCGGCTGTGTTCCCATGTGAAGAGTGTAGGAAACACTTTCAAGGCTTACTAGCGATGCATCCGCCAAGGGTTAATAGCAATGATGAGTTCAAGACATGGCTGTGTGAGGCACACAACATAGTGAATAAGCGTATAGGCAAGCCGGAGGTTGATTGCAAGACTGTGGACGATCTGTGGGATTGCGGATGTGAAGCATGAGCAGTTGATGTACAAGATAAGATGTTCATACTCAGTAATGATGAAATGCATGATACTTAATGCGACAATTGAATAGGATAGAGGCTACATGCATAGGTGATACAAAATGGAGAAAAATTTGCACCCTGAAAATGTAAGTGGAGAAATACTAATTTGAAGGACGAATGAACAGAGAGTGAAGCGCTTAGCGTCAGATATTCTGAATTGTGGAAAGTCGAAGATATGGCTAGACATCAACGAGGTGGAAAGACTGAATCAGGTGTCTACAAGGGACCAGGTCCGACAGTTGATTAAGGACAATGTGATAATTATGAAGTTGGACAAGCATAATAGTCGCGGAAGGTTCAGAATAAGGATGGCAGCAAAAAAGAAGGGTAGGCATATGGGAATTGGAAAGAGGGTTGGAACAGCAAATGCCAGGATGCCGAAGAAGGATTTGTGGATGAAGAAGATCAGGGCGATGAGAGCGATGCTGAAGGAGATGCGAGCAGAGGGCACGATAAGCAAAGAAGAGTTCAGAGTATTTTACATGCAGGCGAAGGGAAATCTGTTTAAGCACAGGTTCTACATGAGGGACTACATTATGAAGAAGAAGGGCGAGGAGGAGAGAGCAAGGGAGCTCACAGGGCAAGCTGAAGCCTTGAGCATATCGAATAACAATGCGGTTTCATCTTAATAAACTTTTTGTCCCAACTGGTGTGTTATATTTGTATTTAGTGGTTTCGAGGCAAAAGCTCTGCATGATGGCACAAAAGGAGTAAATTGAATAGCCTTGTGGATGGTAAATGATGAAGAGGTAGTTGATATGCATAAGATGATCTGTAAACCATTTAAGGAGACGGGATACTGTGGATATGGAGAGTCATGCAAGTATTTGCATATTAGAGATTCTGAGATTGAGATGAAGCATTCTGGAGTTGATGTGGATGTGTGTGGGATATGTAAGGAACGATTTGATGAGAAGGTTGTTGCAGAATGTGGACATTGTTTTTGCTCGATGTGTGTGATGAAGAAGTATCGGTACGAGGATGTGTGTGTAGTGTGTGGAAGACGTACATATGGAAGATTCTGGATTGGCTAGGGATGATAAAATATCATTTGGCTGTGATATTGGATTTGTTGATGCTGAGATTGTGAGTGATGAGATAGTTATTGGAACACACCCACATGCTTAATAAAAGAATAGGAATAAGCATATTGGATTGTGACTTTATGAGGTTAGAAGATGAGCTTGGGGAGATGATGGAGAACGGAGTGACGAATGTTCATATTGATGTTATGGATACCAGCTTTGTGGGAAACCTTACTTTTGGTCCATGTGTGCTTAACAGGATTCTGAAGCATGAGTTTGTGTTTGATATTCATATGATGATTGAAGATCCGATAGTGCTTTTGCCTTTGATTGATTTGAGCAATGTGTTTGTGGTGACGGTGCATCAAGAGGCAAGTGGTAAAAAGAAAGCGATTGAGTATTTGAGAGATAATGGAGTGATGGCAGGGATTGCTATTAATCCAGAAACACGGGTAGAGGAAGTTGACCTGAGTGATGCAGGATTTTCTCTTGTGATGACTGTTAATCCTGGATTTGGAGGACAACAGTTCAAGAGTGAATGTGTTTGCAAGATAGATCAGATTAAGAAGCAAGGAAAGCTTGTTGGAGTTGATGGAGGACTGAATGCAAGCAATATTGCGATGGTTAAGGATGCAGACTATGTAGTTGTGGGATCTGGATACTTCCGGGCTGAGGATAGAAGAGAGTATCTTACCAAGATTAGAAGGCCGTTTTTGGGATGATAATAGCTTGCATGTGTTGTATGATAAACTTGTTGTATAGTAAATGAATGCTGTGTAACTATTGAAGTTTTAGTAATGTATGTGTTGTGAGAGATACTTTTGCTTTGGAATGCCCTAGCGAATGGATGACGGAAGTGTTGAAGTATTTGATTCTGAGGAGAGTTTGGAGCTTATTCTTGTATATAGTCTGTTGTCTAAGATAAAAGTGAAGATAGCAATGAATAAGAGAAAAAAGATGGCAACATCGTTTGCAAAGCTATTGAAGAGCATATCAAATGGAAGCATGTATTTAACAGAAGGTGAGTATTTGATATTTACACCGGGATCGCTGAGTGGAGGAAGTTTGATATTCAAATGTGAGGAAGAGATATCGATTTATATTATACCTTTACTTGTGCTTTGTGCGTTTGTATCTGAACCACTAAAGATAAGATTCAAAGGAATAACGAATGGCAATATGTGTGTGGATATGATAAGAATTGCGCATTTTGGAGTTATGAGAAGATTTGGTATTGATGGATGCGAGCTTGTTGTTAAGAAGCGAGGATTTGAGCCAGAAGGGCAAGGAGAGGTGATGTTGAGTATGAGTGGAGCACGAAAGATTAGCGTTGTTGATTTTGCAGATGATGAGAAGATAGTGAAAGTACGTGGACTGGTGCTCAGTAGCAGGCTGAGTTCTACACCGACTCGAGAAATGACTGAAGTAATCAAAAGGTTATTAGGAGACATATCGAGAGTGAAGGTGTTTTCTAATGTATCTAATAGGCTTGACTCTGGGCCATCGCCTGGATTTCAATGTAATGTATTTGCAGAGTCGAAGAATGGAATATACTACTCGACTGTGAATGGATGGAATGAAGAGAACGTAGATGTAAAGAGCCTAGATAGAGTTAGAAAGCCCGAGGAAGCTGCGGAAATGGCGTGTCATGAACTTCTTAGGAGTGTGAAGGCAGGAGGTGTGTTTGACAGGAAGCTTGTGTATCTAGGACTTTCATTGATGTGTTTATCGCCCAGGAGTGTGAGCAGAATTAAGATTTGTAAGGTTGATCATGAAATTGCAAAAGTGTTTGAACTTTTGAAGAGATTTTTTAAGTTTGAATATGAGATTAAGAAGCACGAAGGAGGATATATTGTTTATGGGAGTGGAAATGGATATACAAATGTAATGAGACAGCTGAAATGAAAATTGGGGCAATGAAAACCCAGATGCAATATAGGATAGAAAACAGCAATGATTTAGATCGTAAGCTTGAACAGTTGTATATGGACTATGTAGAGATTGAGAAGATAGTAAGCAGGCTGAAGGACATCAAGAAGAGATGCACATACAGAAGCGAGTTTGCAAAGATAGTGGCGAAAAGAAAGACTGGAATCAGTGTTGAGATGGATTCTAGAGATGAGGAAAGATTCTGCAAGACTACGAAAGGATGTATGAGATTCGATCTTAACGATGATTTTTGGAATGAGATGTCTAAGATGTTCAATGCGCCAAGGAATGAATGCTTCAACAGATGGATTAACCGAGTTGAAGATTATAGCAAGAACTTGAGTAAGAAGGATGCAGGAATAATTAACTCTTTGATTCAGGAAAGAAACGATTGGCTCGAGATATCTGCAAAGATGCATTGCAGGCCGTTTGATGCAGTACGCCTGTACCTTGGTATTAACACAGATTCCATGCCTAAAATGTGGACGTCTGAAGAAGATGGTTTACTTGAGAAGGGTGTTGAGAAGCACGGACTTTCGAAGTGGAGATACGTATCCAAGGTTGTGGGAACAAAGACCGGCAAGGAATGTGCAATGAGGTATTACTTCCTGAACAAAAGTGTTAAGAAAGGTAAATGGTCCGATGACGAAAAGCTGAGGCTTGTGCATGCGGTCGATATCTGTAGAGAAGGCGACTGGAGATGCGTTAGCAACCATGTTATGACACGGAATCCGATTCAGTGTAGGTCAAAGTACATTAAACTTAACAAAGATGCACAGTCGCACACTCAATAAATATATCAATTCGTATAAAAATTTCATTTTTCTTATCTACTCAATATTCCATCAATTCGCATTCACTAACATCATTGATCAGATCAATAATATATTCTTGTTATCATTTATTATTCGAGTAGTTCTTTGCAGCGTTGGCAATATTATGAATCCATTTGTTACATTACATATTTGTTTTATATACTTGCAATATTATGTTAAGTGTTCGCATTCTGATTATAAATCGCTACATTTCACTCTCACTATCTACAATATTCATAAAAATCACTCTTATTTATCACGCAATAATACACTACATATATACACATACAATCTAATAATCACTTTATTATTTATTACATGCATGATATCAATTATATACTGGATGATGAACAACTTCCGGAACACCTCACATTGTCTGCTAGTTGTGTTGACTTTATATCATTATATTCATTTATAAGCTGAGGCAATAACCATAATACCAATGCAATAACTATCATAAAATGCTTTCCTCTATTTTTCACATACTTTAAAATACTATTCATCACATCTTCAGGCACATCAATCAATGTATCATCATATCATTATGATCTATTACCTGACTCATTTTACTACCATTACTTTCTTCTTGTGATAATCTTTCCTTAATTAAGTTAATAAAACTTTTGGTTATAATATTAAAGTATTCCTATGTAAAGTTCTCACTGTTCTCTGTTTCAGTTGATAATAGTTCGCTCAGTATGCCATACGCCATTTCATTAACCTTTATCCAATCTACATTATCTATTTCAATTAGGTTCAATTCATTTAGTTGTTCTTCACTTGTATTATTTGCTTCTGCTTTCTTGTTAAATGTATTCCATATTATACAATATTCGAAGTTAATTATCTCATCTTTTTGTTTCATAACATATTTTATAAAGCATTCCATGAGATTTTCTTCATTAAATCATGCTTTACATATAGGCTTTCCATTACAATTTCAAGTTGCTTTCTAATTATTATTGCTCTCATCATTCTGATAATATCTGTCAACCGCTTTCTATTCTTATAATTTATGTTAGGCAATAGGCTCACCTTCATTATCTCTATTGATATTTCATATACTTGATCTATTTTACTTTTTGTGATAATAATAGTCAGTAAATCATTAATTATTTTGTACTGTTCATCAATATCATACTTATATTCATCAAATGTTTCCTTAACGTTTATAAGCATAAGTTTTCTTAATGCCTTTTTCTTCAATTCACCTTCTGTATTATTTATTTTATTCTTGATTTTATTTTTAATCGTGCCATCTTCTAGATTGGTCGCTTTATTCTTATTCTTAGCACAAATATTAAACAATAACTCATGAAATGCATCCCTGTTTTTTGATCAACTGCATTATTATCGATTGCATTATCAGTCTGCTTGATATTCACTGTACTTTGTTCTGAAACTTTTATTTTTTCATTAGTTGTATTCTTAAATTTATTCATATTGGTCTTCTGATTATATTTATCAACCATATATTGAATCATTAAGGAATTTATTATCATATTTGTCTGTTTCTTACCCCATAAGGCAATAAGATTACACCAATTTTTCTGGATTGCTTCTTCTTTCATTTTATCATCAGTATAATATTCCTCATTTAGTACAGAATGTAAATCGTTTATATTAGAATGTATTATAGGAAGGCAATCATTTACAAATCGTATTATAATTGATTTTAGCATACTCTTATGTTCATAATAAACACCATTGTTAACATAATCAAATAAAACTTTGCGAACCTCTTTTCTTATTTCTTTATGTGTCATTTTCTGATAAATAATACCTGAAATGTTACCACATACAATACTCAATTCATCGATTAGTATATCGTTAATAATACTATACATTTTTTTTTGTGCTTTCGCCTTGTCACTGCCTTTCATCTTCATAATCGATATATAGATCTTCAAAACCATTATGATCTAAACCCTGTGTAATCACATCATGTAAATCCAATGATGCATCCTTATAATATATAGAATCTTTCAGTATTTCGGTTATTATTTCAGTATTTTTATCCAGCTCCTCAAATACACGTAGTACCATATTTTTCATATTTCCATTTTTAATCAAATTATTGAGTAGATTCTGTGCAAGTTTATTATCATAGTGGAATTTCAAAATATACTTAACTAGCTTAGCATGTATTTTCTTTATCTTTCTTCGTTTTTAATGTGTGATTTTTTACATATGATATTCAATTCTTTCAATATAGATTCAATAATATCAATAATACTACTTATTGCATTATTTACTTCTATATCAAGCTCATTAGTTTGTACTATCTTTTTTAAATGTTTTATACCACAAATCTTAATAAAATTAGATAAATAATTATACATTTGAATTCTACGTTTATATCATCTTCCTCATTATCATATATCTTCTCAATTTGTATAATTCTAAACACATTCATTACTATCTCTTTCTCATTACTATCTTTCATGTATTTCACCATCAGTTATAATCTATCTAAGTATTTAAAGCAGGGAAGTTTATTAATGTTTTCAAGCGCACTACAAATTTTCGTCTTTCTTGCTTTTTGCTTTTCTATCTCATCATCTGTAATATTAGGATAATCATTACATATTCCAATCAGGTGTTCATGTACATTTTCAATAGCACTAATGATACCATTCCCCAAGTTTTTTCGCATCAGTTTCAAGATCATCCGTCAGTATTTTACTCTTTGTATATTCTATACCTTTTCATTAGCAATGTTAAGTAACAATTCACAAACTTCTTTTCCTCTTACTTCAGGTGTATTCTTATTCCCATAACATAAATTCTCAATCTATATCTTTCTAAATACTTCCAATGCCATATCCTTTATATCATTTTGGAAATTGTCTTTAGTCAACTTCTCTAAATCTATATATGAGTTGTACTTACTGATAAACTTAGTTATTACTTTATGGATTATACTTTTTCATTTTCTATTTTATATGAAGATTCCTCAAATAGATTCTTCAAATTATTTATCAGGTTATATATACTACCAAGCACCTTCTTTGCCATATCTTTCATTTTACCTTCTTTCATATTAGTTACTGAAATACACACTTCTGTATAACCGTTCGTATTTAAAATACAAATCATCGTATTATACAATTTTGTTCGTCGTTCTTCATCATTTAATCTTCTAGAACGTGTATTATTCAACATTTTTACTATTGCTTCAGTATATTTGCTTTTTTCTCCGAATACAGTCAATACTATATCCTTCAATTTACCTTCATTCATTCTGTGTACAAACCTCTCCATACTACTGCTACTAATAAAAGCATTCAGCACATTACGTATTCCATTTGGTTGTGCTTTCAGCCACCTATATAACTATTGTATGCATCCTCGATCCGTGCAATTATAAATACATCAATTTCATCATTTATTTTCTTAAGTAATTGTTTATCAAGTTTTTCCAGTATTTTTCTCCGTTCTCTATTAGATTTACTCATCAGTATATGAATAAGAAGACCATCGATCTTTATTTTATTCAACATATTCGCCTTCGCTTCTTTTTTCTCAATACGACTTATCAAAACATCCAGAGCTCTTATATCAGCTATATTTATCTTGTTCAGTCCTGCTATTATCTCGTCTTCACTCTTCTCAGGGATCATACTACTAATAGCAAGTAAATTGAAAAATAAACACAATCCTTCAATTATTTTATATCCAATCGTCCAGATATTCATTTCCTTGGCATAATAAATAGTTATCTCATTCGTTGCCTTTACCGATTCTTGACAATCGTTTGTTTCCATCATCATATTGACCAATGCTTTATACTTATCATCATTAATATCACTAGCATTATAGAATATCTTTGCAATCGTATCTACATTAATCATTTGATCGGATTTGATTGTGCCTCTAAATTTTGACTCATAGTTTCATAATTATTAATCCCAAGGGCATTGTTATCCACACTATCATTATAAACTATAATATTCAATTAAATTGCTTTATTCATTCAGCTGTTTAATAGCTCACAATCAGCAATCTCACTCTCAGTAACTTCAGTTACCATACTCGTGATTCTCATTAATATCCTCTCTTATCAATCAATACTTATTTCTTTTCATTTAGTTATCTGATATCAAAACAACATATTTTTGATTTTTTGGTTACTTTTTATCAGATAGGCTGAGGCAGTGCAGCACCACCGAATAATAGATTTAATCTAGCTACGCAGTTAATAACTTCTTCACACAGGATTAATATGCCCACCAACATTAAGAAATACGTAACTAATCTTCCCCACAGTGGCATTTTCCTAGTCATCAGACAAGAATAACTAGACATACAAATAATTTGAACAGCTGCATCGCTAGCATCAGAAGTAAAATATTTGGCAGACTCATCTCCAACAAGATATAGGATGCCCATAGTAACCAGAACTACACATGAAGCTATGTTCAGTGCCACAATTGGCAATCCTTTGAATAAATCAGGACACGCCCATCCTTTCTGTATTTCCTCATTCTCATTACCTTCAATAACTTCGTCATTTACTTGCTGATTCTCTTCTTCTGTATCATATCCGTATAAATTGCAATACTGATCAAATGCCCATGATATGACTTTAAACAATGGTCCTATTGCAAACATCATCATGATCACCACTTCAAGTCCAGTATTTCGTGGTTTTTTTATATAAAGTGAGTATTCATATCCTCTAAGTATAACAAAGGCCATAAAATATGATACCCAAGGCGTATAATCATTCAGGATAAATTTTATGTTGTTCATGGCTTTATTCATACTCTTCTTTTCGTCTAAGAAAAGTTTTTTCTGCTCAGTGGTTAATGGAGTCTGTGGAACGTAAAAAATGTATTTTTGTTCCATTTAAGGGTTATTATAAAAAGAGATATAAATGTGGACTGTTATGGAAGTTTAGATGATAATAGTTGAGTAGATGGTAAAAGATAGGCGTGAATGAGTATATGTCTGTAAATGTAGTTAAGTCATGTATAAATTCCAAATAAAGATACCCAGATTTATGAATGTAGGACAAGAAATACTCAAATCAATAGAGAATGGAAACAAGGCTGAATCCTATTACAAAATACTAGATGAACTTATAATGGAAATCAGTGCTTGTATTACTAGGACAGATAAAATATGGAATAAATCAAAGCGCAAGTTCAAGAAACGCCTTGACAAACTTTTATTACTGCGTATCAAACCCGGCATAAACACATTGAACTTTTGTAGAAGTATAAATGGATTATCGATAGATAATGACATAAACAACATGGATGAAAATGAAGAGTCAAGAAACCAGATGACAAAAATAGACATGAAAATAAAATATATTTTTGACTGTCTAGACAGTAAAAATAAAATCTGTGTAACTGCATTCAGGGAATATGTTAAGGAGCACAAAAAAGAGCAGTTTGTGATGGACTTCCGAAATGCATTAGAAGATCCAGAACTGAGAGATTTAATTTATGCGATTCCTATAGAGTTTGATAATGGAGAAACATGTGTATATCGTTGTGATAAAGAAAAAGGTGGTAGATTTATGGTGTTTGATTGGACTACGGAATGCACAAACATGCTTTTACATGCATATACATGCATTGAATCGATTTTAACTGATGAAGCAAATGTGAATAAATGGAAGGAGAATCTTCAGGTAATAAAGCAGCAGATGAAAAGAATACACACAACATTGAACTTCATGTACAGAATGTTTGATTTTGATTCAAAAGAAGAGAATAGGGTGGTTGATGAAATTAAAAGGCATGGATTTGATATTGATACACATGGGATGTTTAGTAAAACTACTCATATGCTAGAAAATATCAAGGTTGGGTTTCAGAATACACGATTACGAGCACTGGCTTACAATTACCATTTGAAGGGTTTAAAGTATGTATTAAGGTATGATGAACAAAACGATAAAATCGAAATATTTATGATAGGAATCAATTGTTGTGTATTACTGGATTTAGTTGGGTATTTAGTGTGTGTAATAATGCTATTTATTGGAGTTGGATATGTAGTAGGAGTAGATGTGAGTAAGATTTATAGATTAAAGTTGTGTGTGTTTGCAATATCAGTGATTGTACCGATTGTATCTATGGTACTTGCATTGAATAGCATGAAAGCAATGTGTGAAGAGAACAAAATCAAGGTACCAGTAGCCGTAGCATTACCTGCTGTAAGTGCAATGTGTTTAATGATAGTAAATGTGTATGTTTACGTTATGAACGAATGTGTGATGTCACTGTGTGAACTACTTATTCATCTTTCAATGACATTGCTTGTTGTGATGAGCATGAGCGTGTGCATATGGCGAGACGTTTATGATGAGATGTTGATGTGTGGAGTGAATGTGTTAATGATTATTGGATATTTAATACGCAAAGTGTGTGTAAATATAATTGATGGAGAATACAGTGATGTAGCAATGAAGTTGAAGAATGTAGTGGAGATAGGATTGGTAGTGACATCAC